CCCCCCCCCCCCCCCCCCAAGTCCATCACCTACATAAGAAAACTTGGAAATACATACATACACAGCCCTTACTAAACACATAATGCTTATGCAGATTCGGGCATCGGGCTAGCAAAGCCGGATACACCCATTCACATATCCGCTGCAGATCCAAGCTTGGTTCTGACGACATCGCGGGCTCGCGTCTTGACGGAAGCGACGTCTGCAGCGCTACGCAAGCACTTTGGCATTGGGGTGAATAGAGCGGGGAAGGATGTGTGCTCGGTGATTTCAACGGGGCATTATTTGCTTCCTGCGCTTGCGTACGGCGTCATTGGCGCTGGAGGCGTGTTCTCTGCTGCTTCTGCGGCAAGTACGGCTGGTGAGCTGTGCAAGCAGATTCAAGATGCTGGGTCTAAGGTTCTTGTTGCTGTTGAGGGGATGAGGGATGTTGCTATCGGGGCTGCTGAGGGCGCGGGATGGGGGAGGAATGGAGGGGGCAGAGTACTTGTTATGAGTGAGGAGAGAGATTGGAGTTTGAGGATTGTGCAAGAAAATGGGGGGTTGGATGAGAATTTGATTGATGATGGGGATAGGTTGGCTTGGAGGAGGATTACCGATCCGCGGGAGTTGGAGGATAGCCTTGCTGTGCTGATTTATAGCTCTGGGACTACTGGGCTGCCAAAAGGTAAGAGGGAGGAAGACTCCAAGGGGTCCATACACGTGCTGACCCTGGTGTTAGGTGTCAAGATCTCTCATCGAAACTTGGTAGCCGAGACTGTAACGACAGGTGACCTGATCAAGTCATGGATGTCAGAGAAGCGGCCGGACTTCAAGTATAGAACAGTCGCTCATTTACCCATTGCACATATCGCTGGCATTCAGGGTTACCTCCTCAACGCGTTCTACATGGGTGGCTCTGTTTACTGGATGGCAAAGTTCGACTTTGCTCAGTTCCTCGAATGCAATAGGAGATTCCGCATCACTTTCTTCTTCACTGTGCCGCCCATATTCCTGCTCATTGCAAAGTCGGCCCAGGTAACAGACCAGTTCCAGACTCTGGAGCTTGTAGTTAGCGGTGCTGCACCGCTGGGAAAGGACTTGCAGTATGCAGCTAGCCAAAAGCTAGGTGGTCCAGATTGCTTCATCGATCAGACGTGGGGGCTATCCGAAACGACAGGAAGTGCAACAATCATGCCAGCGGGCATGCACGACGACACTGGGTCTGTAGGCCCTCTGGTGCCGAATATGCTTGCCCGTCTTGTCGATGACGACGGCCGAGATGTCGAGCTAGGAAGGTCAGGAGAGATTCTTATCAAAGGGCCTGTGGTGTGCAAAGGATACTACCAGAACGATGCTGCTACCAAGGAATCCTTTACAGAAGACTGGTTTCACACTGGCGACATTGCAAAGTTCCGCAACGGGCTGTTTTACATTGTTGACCGTAAGAAGGAATTAATCAAGTACAAGGGCTTACAGGTTGCACCTGCAGAGCTGGAGGCTGTATTAGTGAGCCACCCAGATATTTTGGATGCGGCCGTTATTGGAGTCGAGGCTGATGATGGTCTTAATGAGGTTCCTAGGGCGTATGTTGTCGCTGCTAAGGCTAAGGATAAGGAAAGGATCAGTGCGCGCGATGTTGTGGAGTATGTGAAGAGAAATGCGGCAGGATACAAGCAGTTGAGGGGTGGAGTGGTGTTCGTGGATGAGGTCCCGAAGAGTCCCAGTGGAAAGATTCTCAGGAAAGATTTAAGGTTTTTGGTGAAGCGTGAGAAAGGCGCAAGGTTGTGAACTGCAAACTCCAAGAAATAGACATACGAAAGCATGACTTCAACTGTAGATGCAATACGTGTGGAACAAATCACACTGTTCCTGATTTAGAAGTCAGGGCAATCGCAATGTTGACACTTACCCCGCAGAAAAAGTACTGAAAAATAGAGACACTTTGCGCGCTAACAAATACATGTGTTTTGCTTGGATTCCGGATTATGCCCCGGTACGGTTTACCCTCAGTGTACACGTGTCTTGTTAGCGATATATCTCTGGGCGGGCCACGACAGACCTGGCGTAGACTTCCAGTCGTCTTACGAGCATACGCACGTGTTTTCTTTTTCAGGACCAGCCGCACAGCCTCAGTTTATGACATCACCACGAACAGTCACAAACTAAATCTTGGGGGTTCCCCTGGCACTGGCTCCAACTTCCTGTCCACATCCATCAGAGCCATGTCTCGCGTAGCGGTAATTTTTGTCAGGACTCTATTGCGTAGACGTGTCTAATTTGTCTTGCAGAAGCAAAACGAGCAGATTCGCGAGGTTCTCGCTTCTGTAGAAAATGGCACCCAGCGGATTAACGAAATGGCAAAAATTAGAGGGTGGTTTCGTCCAAAAGATGGAAGTGGGGCTTATTCGGCCGTGCAAGACTATCTCAACGAGAGAATCGACTTGAGCGAGACGGCATCGCTCTTGTTCGGGCCTATTGATGAGAAAATCAACTCTTCCCATCTCGATGACGTAGATTTCATGGACCTTTGGTATAGCATCATTCACTCAGCACGACGCTTGTCATGCCGTGAAAATGCAGAGTCTCACAACCACGACAAACTAGTCGACTTGATCAAGGCGTTCAAGGAGCACTCTATACCAAACAACGAAATCTACAACTACCTCTACAGCGAAATGACCGACTTTGGAATGGCCTGCCGTGAAGCCTACAACGACGCTCCAGTCGCTCACGACGGCTTCTTCGACCAAGAGGTGGAAGCATGGGCAAACATGAACTTCTTCTATGCTCGTGTAACGCAAAAGGGGCTGCAAGATCTCTGGATATATGCCATCTGGTCGATGCGAACCGCACTTGAAACACCCCTCGTGGACGACCCCTCTGCAACGGCCAATCAGCAATACGACGCGTATGTCCCCGCTGCCGCCGCTTGGATCTTCGGAAATGGACGCCAGCTCTTCCGCTTAGAAAAGGACCTCACACCTGCCGATCCCAAGCAAGGTAACCCCGCACGAGGCGGGGAACTATGGAAAGGTAAGGCCGAGTTCAGCAAAGATCGATGGGCGCTGTGGAAGGAGAGATTTGCTGCGGTTGGGAAAATGGACGGCGTGACGGAAAAGACCAGGATTACCGCGAGAGATGCGGTTGAAAGCATGGAAAGGAGCGAGACATACGAGCCTATGCCGCGGTAGGGCATGGCTTTTGTCGGTGTGTCGTGATGTATTTTTTTCGGCAGATTCATATGTATGTGCAGTTGACGAGGGGCCTACCAAGAACTGTGATGTTTCTTGCGGAAAGATGTATCCGCGTGCACGATCATTATGGCGGTGGTAGTAGAGAGGTGAAAATAGTGACATGCTCGAGTCTGGATGAATATAAAAAAAGCGCCACAGTCACTACTTTTAGCCAGCTCTTCCCTTGTCGGGCAACATCGCATACCTTCATCCGACGCTCTTCACCGTCTCCACCACATCATGTTCACGATGCTCTCCATCATCTCAAATAGATGGCGGGCCTGGTGGTGCTCTAGGACCACTCTTGCAACAAAGCACTTGCAACTAGCAACGGTCTCCTTGTCGCAGCCACGGCTCAAGTTCGGATCGGGGGCAACAGATCCCATCGCACACTAAGTAGCGCCGGCCCGAGCGCCACTGGCAACCAAACCTCAACAAGCCTAACCGGACGGGGCCGTCGCCCATTTCGAGCCTCCTTGCCACGCGGTGCCGCCCTGCAATCTAGTTTTTCTCTTTGCTGGCACAGATTGATAGCGCCTCCGAGACGGGACCCAGACCCTTGGTAACAAGAAAGAAGCGTTCACCGGCCCTGCCTAGCTGCGGAAGGAAATTTTCGAAAGTGTGAAATGTTGAGTTTCCTATGTACGCCGGGTGGCCTGAATTGCCATTAATGTGGAACCGCAAAGCCTCATAGGTATTGAGGCGTGTTTGAGTAGCCGGTGCTTTGGAGAGAACCCATAAGGCAGAAGATACTTCATACACCTAGCGAAAGGCTGAGCCGCTGATGATGCACGCCTGGCGAATCCGGCAAATGTCACTCATAGCGGAGAGATTGTGAGTGGTCATTGCTAGGTACAAGGGTCAGCGGGCTATGGAGTTAGTCGGGGCGGGTGACAGTTAGCTAGACGAACGAGCGAGCATTAGGGGGTTTGACCAGATGCGGACGTTAGGACTTGGTCAAGACAAGACTTTTAGCACTCGGTATGGCCAGGCCCTGCACATGTCCCATTGTATAAAGTAAACGGAGACTGCAGTCTGCATAGCAAGCAAAACGATCATCCGGAACTACTATTGATCATCGAAAGCATATCCGCACATCACTTTCTTCTTTAAGGAACCCTCAAGTCGCATACTACACACCTGCTCATCCCCAGAAACTCGAGTTCCCCTTGCTCGACAAAGGATCCGCCTTCTTTTACCCTCTATATTTTCAATCTACTATACACTGCCAACCATGCATTTCCTCTCCACCATCGTCAGCATCGCCTCTCTGTCGGCTCTTGCATCCGCACAACCAGGCCCCGGCCCAGCACCAGCACCAGCACCACCCGTCGCCCAGATGAACAACACAAACGGCATTGGCAGCATGCCTGCACAGCGCTTCGTCATCTCCGCCGACCAAGCCCAGACTGTCATCAAAGCCGCCATCGCAAACGCCACCGCGCTCCAGATCCCAGAAAACATTGCCATTGTCGACCCAGCCGGCATGCTCGTCGCTTTCCACCGCATGGACAACGCATACCTCGGCTCCATAGATATCAGCCAGAAGAAGGCCCGCACTGCCGTTCTCTTCAACGGCCTTAGTAGCGGAGACCTCTACGCTGCCGTTCAGCCCGGCGCCCCGCTTTACAGCGCCGAGAACAGCAACGGAGGTCTTATTGTCTTTGGAGGCGGTCTCCCTATTTACCTCAATGGAAGACTGATTGGCGGTGTTGGTGTTAGCGGTGGAAGTGTAGAGCAGGATCTCAGTGCTGCGTTTGCGGGTGTTGAGGGGCTTGGTGCTTCATCCAAGGCTTAAAAGCATGGTATTGAGATGAAAACGCCTTTGTTTTACTTATTCTTCTTGTATTTTTTTGTTGAAAGATTTTTGGGGCGATATCCTGGGGTTAGTTTGGAAGTAAAAACTTTTGACAAGGTCGAAGATAGATGTTTTGGGACATGATTGTTGTTGTGTTATACTAGAATAGAAGGGCCGAAAAGGGCCTGGTTGTAATTGGTAATACTGAGGATCAATGTACTCGGTTGAGAATAAGAGGTGTCCATTTTTGGAACGGTGTTACGACATTTGGCTTGCTGCATACTCTTGAGAAATAGACTTGATTTGTATGTTGCAAGTAGACCTTCTGGTCTCTCCTTGATCACATTAAAAACTGGTTTAGACTTTTTGGGATATCTTCTCACTGATCACATGTGAATGTTTGGACAAGGTTGGTTTTGAAGCCTTTGAAGCCCCAAGCATGGTGGTGAAGAAGGGAAAAGAAGCCTCGTCAACATAGTCGACGCGATGATGTTGCTCTCGGGATGCCGTATCTCGGGAGAGGCTGACAGCGAGCTAGCGATTCATGTTCTTGACACATGACATGTAGTGTGCGGCTGTGGCGGGAAAGAACTCGCAGGAGATCCGAATACCGATATTATGATAGGCAGGATAGCGGAATCGTGAAACTTGACTAGGATTTCTGGTGCTTGCGACGCCGTGTTGTATCTTCTTCAGAATGTAGCATGGCACTTTTGGCGTAGCGGTGACGCGCACGTGTTTGTGAGCCCTACCAAGTAGACGCAGTTAGTTCACGATCGTGGGAACGCTATTCATACTTTGGAGCCAGTTGAATGCTTGATATGAAAGTGATGCTGTAACGTTCAAGCCCAGAGACCTCGGCGGTAGGCGACAAAGGCTCGCTTATCCTAGTGTACCATTCGCCTCACATTCTGTTGTCTAGCACTCAGCCTGGACAAAAATAGGTAAAGTGTACCAGAGCCAAAAGTACGTATAGTGATGTCATGAGCTCCCGGCTATGTATACTCAAGGACGTTAGTTTGACTGATCATCTGCACAAAGCAGAAGTTACTGATGCGGGCGATTCGGATGTAAATCCTAATAGCTCCTTGATATTAGCCCCCAGTCTTCAGTTGGGATAAATATTTCATAGTGATTATAGAACACGTTGGTCTGGCCAACATGCTGTCCGCTCAAAAAGTAAAGGAGATCACTGTTGCAGTTGCATAACTCATCAGCAATCAGGTCGGCATGGAAGTCTCCCTACGTCACAGCAGCAACCAACCAGTTTTCTTGGCAGCGCGACCCCACTAACCTCTACGGAGCTTTCGCCAACTTGAAAGAATTGGTGCGACCTTACAAAGCCTACGCGAAACGTGAGTATGCCAGAGCAGCTGTTGTATCGCTCGATCACTTCCCGGATAGGGCTGTCATTAGCGGTGAGGGCCGAGACCTCACCATTCGTTTTGTGTACTTCATATTCACCGCTTCCAATCCAGGGTTGCCCAGTCAAAATACCTTATTCAACCATGCTCTTCTGGTCCTCTGACCATTCCCGTGATCGTTTCTTACCAGTACCGCAAGTTGCAAGTCCAATATTCCAGCGAACAACGCACTCACAATCATGAAACAACCAAAAAAGAAAGCGCGTCGTCGGGACGAGTGGAAAAATGCAGTCATGAGTAAAGTAGGTCTGATGACCCGGTGATTGCCAATCAAAAATGCTACAAAGGCTGCGAAGACAGCTGTTACTGCTGCAAGTGTGGTACTAGCCGGACCAATAGTGTCGTTTCTCCCGCTTGGCCCCTTCACCGCCATCCTATCGTTACTAGCCACGTCCATTGCGAACAGTCACTTGAAACACAAGGTCATTGGTGGCGTCATTGCTTTTTTGTATGCAGGTAGGCTCCATGGGTTCGAAGAACAATTGCCGGCGCTGTTGAGCTACTTTAGCTTTACTTCTGCCTTCGGTAAGCCTATTTGTATCGGCAGCATCTTACTCGCATCCTGACAGGAGCGTAGATAAGCTTTCTGGAACACTTGATGCCATGTACAAGGAGTCCGCCTTCACAATTGGATTTTCTCGACCTGAATCAACACAGTTATTTCTTTTTGTTCTCTCTGAGCTCCTCGAGCTTCCTTGGGCTATACCGATAGTCGTCCGCACAGTTGTCACCAATGTGTCGCTGCTGGCTTCTCAATCATATGCCACAATTTCGAGCACAAAACCGTCATTCGATACATCGAAACCACCCCTGAGATTACTCATTCAGACATTGAGCAACCTGTACACCAAGGATAAATTTGCGGATGACGATGTGGAGAGCCTGAACTCGAGTCAAGATATCCAAAACAGCATCCCTTCAAATATCGCCCAAAGTCTCTCGCCAGAAATCCCGAGCTATGAATATTCGCCAGAGGAGTGGTCAGAGGAGCGAGAGGTGGTCGAAGATACATGTGATGATGAACTTTGGAAAGGCGGTTCCTTAGATGATGAAGAAAGGCGTACTCAAGCACTATTCGATGAGCTGAATCATCTGATCGATGAATGCGACGGGCTGAATAGTGCTCAGTGGAATGAAGTCATCGAGTTGTTGAATGGAAACGAGGGCTTCGACGGTGACCGAGGAGAGTGTATGGTCTCAGCGCATTTTGAGGATTGGGCACAGCGGGATGCAGAGATAGAGTTGTCAGTTTTATACCCCAATATTTGATTGATTATTTTGAAGTAAATGCAAAAATGAAGATCTTCCAGAATGTAGATGACATGATTACTACCTGCGTTGCGGCTGCACATGTGATGATAGCATTGTGGACCAGCCACAGTGGCGGTGTGCCAAGGTTTTAACCGCTTCCAGACTAGACAGCTCGCTCGCCCACAGGTCCCAACTCCAATATTGCACACAATTCGCGACCGACGACAACCCCACGACTAACACACAGGTATCACGCCAACACCGCCAACATGCGTACCTACGACGATTCCTTCAGCGGTCAAAAGATCTACCCGGGCAAGGTGCGTTACAATGCCGCTCCCGTGTCCCGCCGTCCGCCGCTGCCAGAGGTCGACATTCCGCCATCGCGCCGCAACAAAGCGAACACCTGGCGGAGGGGGATGATGGGGATACCATAATGGGTCGGGCATTGGCTGATGGCATATACAGGGCAAGCTTTACATCCGTGGTGACAGCAAGATCTTCCGCTTCCAGAACGGCAAGAGCGAGTCCCTTTTCCTCCAGCGCAAGAACCCTCGCAAGATTCACTGGACCACTCTCTACCGAAGGGCGCACAAGAAGGGTATCTCTGAGGTTAGTCGCCGCCCATTTTCATATGCATATTCAACGTTGGGACGTGTATTTGGGACAGCAGTGAAGGATGACATCAGTATAAACTGCGGAAGATGTACAGGGGATAGGGAGCATCACCGGTGTCGATGTTATCGTGTTGTCGTTGCTGTCCCTTCACAGTCTATACATCACCACCATACGATTGCGAACTATGCTAACCACCGTCACCACAACAGGAAGTCGCCAAGAAGCGTACCCGTCGCACAGTCAAGCACCAGCGTGCCATCGTCGGTGCCTCTCTCGATGTGATCAAGGAGCGCCGCAGCCAACGTCCCGAGGCCCGTGCTGCTGCTCGCAGCGCCGCCGTCAAGGAGGGCAAGGAGAAGAAGGCCGCCGCCGAGTCAGCGAAGAAGGCTGAGAAGGCCAAGAACGCCGCTGCATCCGCACGAGGCAACGCCGCCAAGGTCAGCAAGCAGGGTGCCAAGGGTGCCGCACCAAAGGTGCAGGCAAGGACTCGTTAAGCTAAAGCGGGGAATTGGTACGGCGTGCATAGTCTGGGTTATGGCTGGTTTTTCGGAATGACTCGGTGTTTCCCTTTACTCTCTGAATCTCTGTTTCCGATAAACCGCGGAAAAATGGAATGAATGGAAATGGCACTCTTCATGGCTGACCTGTTTTGCTTCTGGAATCGGTGTTTTTCTACTACTGGACACTGACCCACCATACACTGAAGCGTCTGGCGCCGTAGGGCAAATACAATACCATGTCCTTACGAAACAATGAATGCTGCTGCCAACACGAGTCGTGAGTATGCCCAAGGGAAGGGGAACAAGGATGGCTGATGTGTATTCCATCAAGGCTTCCATACACCACTGGCATCCACCAGGGGGGATACCTAAATGTCGATTCAATGGTACAAGCACGTCACTTCTTACTTGATACACTGTTCATATCCCGTTCATGTCTCATTATTATCGAGTTCAGTAGAGCTATTTCGTAACATTGTGGAAAAGAAGAAAGAATCAAAACAAGTCTTAGCTAATGCAGTCTAATCCTCATGTCAAGACTGATAGGGTTTAATGCTCCTAGAGCAAGCGAAGTAAAAGAGTACAAAAAGACATTACTGTATTAAGTGCCAGTTACTTTACTGGGTGGTGTGTGTGTGTGAACAAAGCGCTTGATGCGAATTAGAAGCCAAGGTGGTAGGCAGAAATCAACTCTAATTAGTACCGATATCGCACAATCGTACCAATGGCCTTGGTGTACATCGCGATGTTGCATAACTTTTGGTCGGATATCGTGTGCAAGCAGGCAACATGTTCCGTCGATATCCAGTACAGCGTATAGTTTGCGCATACAAGTCATCCCGCACTGCTGTACGATACTAAAGGTATGAGCAATTTCAACGCACAGCTCCTCAGGCCAGTGGATAAGAGGTATGCCATCTGGTATCCAAACAGCCCACACCATCCCATGCCTCCATATTGGCATCCTAATCCAAGACCTCCATCATCGAGGCTTTCTTTTGCTCATCTTCGACCAGCATACAGCGAGCGCGACAGATGTCCTCGATAATATCGACGACCTTGCGAAAGCTGGATGCTGCCCCGCGCGTCTGTGTAAATCGTGCAAGGCAGAGGTTGGCGCGGCGCCCGTGTTCGAGTACGACGAAGAGTTCAATGACAAACGATACGGGCTTGATTTTCAAGTCTATGCGCATGTGTTAGCATCAGGCCTCGTATAGCAATAAGAAAATGAAAAATGGCGTTACGTTGCAGTGTCTGCTTCACCCTCAAAGCTTCAATGTCGAACCGCCAGTTTTGAAGACGCCACCCTCAGAATACAAAACATGCTTGCGATGACGGGTTGTACTTACGATTATTTTTATCAACGCGCGCACTGATGGACTTGGACTTGCGATCTAACACCACATCCTGAATGCCAAAGCGCTGCCAGTCGCGCAGCAGACGAACAAAGTCCTGTCGAACTTTGCCACGACCGACTTGCAGGCACAAAGTTTTGCTAGCGGGTTTGATATGCAGGAAGCGTGATAGCCAGTTCATCTGCATCTCAGGAGGGGCGATACGAACTACATCCTTATTGCGGTCGGGCCCCAGATCGAAGTTGGACGAGATAGAAGAGGAGCTAAAGTTGATTTCTAAGGCAACGTCAGTTGGTGTGAGGACACGAATACCTTTTATTCACTTACCTCTTAGCTCCATCGGGCTATTTCTTTTGCTATTCTTGAACTTCTTTCCGAACAATGCAAGGAAACCTTTGCGAGCTGTGCTATCGCCCTTTGAAGGGTTAGAGTTGCCATGGCGCATAGGAAACTCGCTCCCATTGCTTCCACCTGATTGCTTCTGGTTATGCTTTGGATGGCCGCCATTAATCAATGACAGAGGGTCCCTTTTGGTACGATCATTAAGACCGTGCCATGCCTCAGGTATTTGGAGTAGCCCGTTTGATTGCTTCGTAACTTGGTTCTCCTCTTCATCATGATCCTTGTTCTTTTCATCATTGTTTCGCCGAAACCATGACTTCTTTTTCCGGATCACAGGGTGTTGCTTTGCAGGCATAGAGACATCGTTGTCGAGTCTTGCTGCAAACGGATCATGCTGCACGTCTTGGTACGGGCAAACTGTTGAGTTGCTATTCGGCGCAGACAATGGCACAACAGTCATCTCCTTAGTAGCCTTCTTTGAGTCCAGGCTTGCTCCGCTTTTCTTGCGAATGTTTAGGGGCGCCACACGATTAGGCGATCCATTAACAATGCGAATCGTCTGCTGCTGGTCTGGTGCTACACGGTGACCCTGAGATCTAACAGGATTAGTGAAGACCCGGTGATGAGTAACCAGATTATCCGACCCATCTCCATTGTCAATCTTCACCTCTTCTGGGATCATATGTAGTGGCCCATGTTCAGGAGACTTAGTGGGGGCCGAAGCAATACGCTTACCTCCAATCGCTGCAGGCATCATCAAGCGATCGAGATTCTTAAGGAGGTTGTTATAACGTTCCGTGGTTTCATCCTCCATAATCCTTTGGGCGATTTCTGCACGGGTCTCTGCGAGCTTTCGCTGAACAAAGGTATTTGGAGTCTCGGCCGGTGTAGGTGGAAGAGGTCGCTCTCGGGACAACCATATGGCAGCTGGGGGAGTGGCAAGTATGCTGCTGCTCAAATTCTGCGTGTTTGGGGAAGATGTCGGAGGGTTGTCATAATGAGAGGCATTGTTATACGTATATGTGCCTGAGTAGACACTTGAACCGACAGATGATCGATTAAAAGCCTCTTCCATGACCTTGCCCAGCTCCATACTGACCTTCCGAACCTCACCCTGAATGTATTTGGTTGGGCTCTCCCGCTTATATAATTTTAGATGTGGAGTATCTGTACCAGCAAGAGCCTTTGATCTGGGGTTCGAGCGGACAGTGCTAGCCCTCATGGCTGATTCATACGATCCGATAAAGGTGTGAGGCCTGTGAGCCATGTAATCGGTACATGATCCAACCTCAGTCTGCCAACTACTACCAGTAGCAGCCGATGACCGACGATCGCGCAGATGCGAGAAGCTCACACCTCGCTTGCCTATACCGCTAGGGCGAGAAACAACAGGCGGGCTGCTGGGCCATTGGGAGCTCATGAGCGAGGATCGTGACATCGAACGCCTCTGGACAGAAAAGGCGCGGTAAGACAGGCTGCTTCGACTCGAAGAACTGCGCGATGTCGCATAACTACGTTTAGATCTGTTTCGCAGAGTCTGAATGCGCAATGAGCTGCCGGCCCGGTGTCCCAGAGCTGTAGTGGGACGTGGCTTTTCACTGCGGCTTCCACGTCCGCGATGTACAGTAACATGCTGGCTAAGAGGTATATCTCCTGGACCGGGCATTATAGGCTGCCGCGAGGCTCGGTAAGGATCGTAGCTCGCTTCGGAGGCTGGAGTCTCATAGAGGTTATGCTTTGAGTAAAGATGCTCGTTATTGAGAATCGAGTAGGCGGACTGTGAGCGCTTGGTATGCTTCAATGGAAGCTCTGAAATTTCCAAGGGTGTAGGTGCGTGACGTGTACTGTGATGATGATGATCGCTGTTTGAATGAGCAACAGCATACTGCGAGCTTGGCTGGTAATTCTCCAATTGATCAGCATGGTATTTGCGAAGTGCAGCGTAAAAGAACTTTTCCTGGTTTGATCTAAAATTCTTATTAGTAAAAGGATAACACAACAATGTGACAGACATTGCTTACTCTGGACTGATCAACTTTTGAATGAGGCTCTCTTCCTTCTCACTATGCCACAGCGTACGCAGATATCTCAGAATGTCGCGATTAACAGTGGCCCGGTCTAACGCCGTCCACTCAGCTATGACAGGAGAAGGGCCAGTCCAATGATCGAGGTGAGCATTGTTTCCCAAAAAGTTCAACTCTTGTTGGTACTTGCGTAGGAAAGGATGATTCCAGATTTCCTCAAGTGATATGCGGCGCTTGGGGTCGGGCACCAAGATCTTCCTGATGAGATCCTGAGCTTCTTTGGAGATATTGTCAGGCATGACATACTTGGCCTGTGCGATATCGCGAAATAGATGCTTCATGTAGCGATCATCACCCGAGTAATTGAAAGGGGGCGCACCGGTAAGCAGAACAAATAAGATGACGCCACAGCTCCAGACATCTGCCTTTGCGCCATCGTAGGATGTGGTCTTGATGACTTCTGGGGCGGCGTAATGCGGGCTTCCACAAGGTGTGGTGAGCTTCTTTCCGACCGGTTGTAAGGCAGCCATGCCGAAATCAACCAGCTTGACTGTCATAGTGTCTCTGTCCAGCAAAATATTCTCGGGTTTGAGATCGCGGTGATGAATGTTGATTCGATGGCAGTAGGTCAAAGCTGCGATCATCTGGCGGAAAATATGGACAGCGTGTATTTCGATCAAACCGCCCTGTTCTTGAATGTAGGCGAAAAGCTCTCCGCCTTCTACAAACTCCATGATGAGATAGCTGATGCTTGTCAGACAATGGCTTCAAAATGAGTAATCAATGAAACTTACAGCTCATCACGGTTCTCCCAAATATCAAACAGGCGGACAATGTTCGGGTGATCCAACAACTTCATGATACAGATCTCACGTTCCAATCCAAAAGGGATCACCTTGCCATCATGGCATAGAGTTGGATCCTGCTCAGCACTCTGGATAAGATTGGCCAAACTCAACGCCCGAACTTTCTCAGCTGTGGCCTTGGAAATGATTTTTGCAGCACCATATTGACCAGTTCCAGAATGCCTAACAAGTCGTACGCGTGAGCAGCCGCCTCGACCGATGGTTCTGCCCAGCTGCCATGGGCCTATGTGTGTCTTGAGACGGCGGTTGAAGCTGGAAGCATTAGTGCTTGCGTTGGAAATCTCCAAATCACGCTTGGAGTTTGGAGGGCGACCTTCGCGGGCTTGAACAGCTGAGAGACGCTTGTTTTCTGGAGAACCAAGCCCGTTGCGAACTGCAAGTGAAACATTTGTGACTACTGGATCTTTTTGAAGGATTTGCTGGGTTATAGAGACTGGTTTGTCTTCATTGACTTGCTTTTCATCGCGTTGCTGGCTGTGTAGACCCTCATTAGCGCGGTTTGTAACGTCTCCGAGGATGCGGCGGCGGGACGGTGGACGCCCATGGAAGACGGAGTCCATATTCTTGGGTTGTGTAATGCAGTTGTCAAGGCGCCGCACTTGAGTAGTGCTGCAATGGCGATTATATCAGGCGAGTAGACTGCTAATTAAGCTTTCTAAGATGTGTACAAAGAGCATGTGGGTATGCGTGCAAACGCCAAAGAGACCAGTAGTCAGTGTTGTGGTAAACAAATTCGCTATAGTTGGTGGGGCCAGGCAAGTGCCATGAGTGGGATGCTCTTGTGTTTGTTTACTGTTGTTAGCGACACTGAACGCGTTGGACAGTCGAGAGCTAGCAAGATGGTACAGTGGCGGGTAAAGGAGGGGCAGGTAGGTCTGCAATGCCAATTTTGACTGCAACTATTCCCAAACAAAAAAGCCAACAAGTAGTTGGGTGCATACGATGAGGCGGTTATACAAGGGTTGGTGTGGAAGTATCACAAGTGGTAGGAGGGGAAGTTGGTGCACAGACGGACCCTGATGGAAGCGCGACCGAATGCAAACGCTGTCGCGGCAGGGCTCGCGTCGAGGCGAGTTGCGGGCAGTGGCAACTCTCGTAGGCAAGAGCGCGTGGTAGATGCATAGTGTGCTCAAGAAGCAGTGGAAATGACACAAATCTGGAGCGAGGGATAGGAAGCATTGCCCGTAGTCCAAAAATAAAACGGGAAGAATAGTTTACTTGGTTGGACAAATGGGAATGTTTTGATTGTAGAATCAGAATATTGAGAATGAAAACATTTACCTTTCACCTTTCCTACCATGAGTGCATAAGACTGTGCCCTGTAGGATAAGAAGCGAGCTGTAGCTCCTACATTGACCCTTGCGATAGGGCGTAGTCTTACATGTCTGTCTAGCAATCGCAGAACTCTAAAAAAATTATTTCTGTACAAAACATACGTCAAAAGCATAATGGCACGTGGTTGCGCGTATTGCTGACATGGCATGAAGTGAAGTCAAAAATGGATCTGGAGCTCGACCCGCAGATCGTTCCCTCCCCAACTTAAGGCGCGGGACATGCCGTCGCGATCTCCATTCCTTGCCCGGGTTCATGGGTGCGCTGTACAACCGGGCCGGTCCTGGGCACAAGGAAACAGGTAAAAGAAGGTTTGATTAACATGCGGAGTCGACTTTATTAGGGAAATATTGCATGTAGTGATATACCCCCTGCCCCACCCACCTGTTACAACTCCACGCTTACTCTAGCCCTCTGCGATGCGAATCGTGAACGTGAGCACAGACGCACGGTGCAAGGTGATTCACTGCATAGATGAACATAATAAATATCGAGATAGCTGTATATCGGGAAATTATGCATTTAAAAATTCATTTGTTGCTTGCGCTGATCATACACATGTATATATGCACTGTGAAAAATGTGACAAGATGATGTTGCTTGCGATGCGAAGAAAAAAAGCAGTGGGGCGTATATTCCTATCCCTTTTTTTGCAAACATTACGGCCCAACATGGCAGATATGAACCTTCCTCAAACGCGCGTCCCACTCCGTTAGGAAACCTTCCTCATTCGTACAAAGCCCCAAACAGAACAAACACTCAGCGACTGGCTAAGAGAAACGCAAATCGAGCAGACACGAACACATACATCCCCCGCTGCATACATGATATACCTGATAGATACAGAGTCTGACCCGACCCAAGACCGAGAAACATCCAAAATGACCAAGAGGTATACGCGCTCCACACAAAGACAGAGATGAAAGGAAAAAAAAACGATACCAAGTAGACGTAACATAAACAGGGAAGATGAACGCGCATAAAAAACGACATGTAAAACTCCCATACATGTCCCAGGGGTGTAACTTTCCCGTAAAAAACATGAATACCATGACAAGTCGTGACCAGAATGCTTTGCTCAACCGCAGCAACCGTGCTTCCCGTATGAGAGGTATACACCGAAACCTCAGAGGGGAATTCCGTATAAGAGGGTATAGATAATACAATAGAAGTGAAGTAAAAAGGCCGAAAGGGACTTCTGGATGAAGCCGCGAACCGCGAGACGGATTACGAGTGGGATTTCAGATCTTCTGCCCGCGGAGAGTGACTTTCGCGCTTGGTGTCGTTTTCGCCGACGACCTTTCCGCAGCCTTTAACAAGGATGTGTCTCTGTACAAATGCGTTAGCAGTCTGTTTACACAAACAATAGTGTCTAGAGAAAAAAACATACCTTGAGCGCATCTTTCCTGGAGAAACTCTTATCACAGTGGTTACAAGGGAAGGGCTTGACGGCGAGATGGATCCTCTTGTGACGCTTCAGATCATGGTTCCTGTTGAAGCTCTGTGGGCACTGATCACACTTGAATGGACGATCGTTGGCAGTTGGTGGTTGGTGCTGGGGATGTCCCATGAAGTGGGGCATCTGCGCAGCGTGTCCACTGTTGAAACCAGACATCATGCCGGGGTGTCCAACAAGTGCAAGGCCTCCGGCGGGGTTCTGAACGTTAGAAAAGACAGGCGCTTGGCCTCCTCTATACTGCAAAGATGGCCTTTGCTGGTATTGGTAGGGAGAGTGCGCTGGGTTGTTGGATGGGATCGATGGGATCGGACCCTGCGACACAGCTGGCGACATGCGCTGCATCGAACCACCAGCGCTGATGGGGCTCTGCTGCTGACTCAAAGTTGGCGATGGTCCAGTCGAGTAGGGAAAGTTTGAGTGTTGGGGTGTTCCTGAGTTGTGGTAGCTGTAGGTAGGGGTTGGGGGCTGAGGCGGCCTGAACGAGTCCTGGCTGAGAGCAGGCGACTGCTGTGGTCCCGAAGAGGAGACGGGGGTTTGATTACCCATCATCTGCTGATGGTGATGATGCTGTGTAGAGATAGAAGGCATGCTTGATCCGTTGGACGAAGGCGTAAAAGGTGGAAGTTGCTGGGTCATTTCATATGGTGGCGGGTTCAGCCCTTTGCCTAGTGAGTCCTGTCGTCCAAGCTGGCCCTCACCACGCGATGGAGCGAACATACCTCCTCGGGCCTGTCCGTATTGGTTCTGCTGGTGATGCGCAGCCTGATAGCCATACTGCGCAGCTGATGCTTGCGCAGGCGGAGAGTAGATGTATTGGCCGTTGGAATAGGCCATTGCTGTGGAATAGTGTGAGCCAGCTGCTGAAACTCCAGTTGAGCTTATCACGTCACTGTGATTAGTGTTTGGCGGAGTCAGGAGGTTGCCAACGCTGGCAATAGTGACTGGAGCCTGTTGCGACTGTGAAGTGGTAATAGTGTTGCTGAAAGGATATTTGTGCATCGGTGGCGGTGGCAGCTCAAAACTGCCGAGTTGCTGGGCGTGAGGTCTCCGCGCTGCAAAGCTAGGAGGCGCACCCATTGGGTCAGACCCAGGATGCATGGAAGACGGATGAGCCACGGCAGCAGCCACGTTGGCGGTTGTGTTCCGGGTAGGTCAACAAGACCTACCTGCTTCGGATGGAGGAGAACTTGGGGGATATTGCAGCGGCGACGCTACAAATGGCTGAGTGGTGTAATGGTCAAGATTAGACCAATACGGACCACGTAAAGGCTGCGAGTCCACGGAGGATAATAGGCAGCTTGAAGCTCAAGGGCGTAGTGGGGAAAATCAGGGGCTCAAGTCCAAGGGGGACAAAGAGCTGATGATAGGCAGGCAGTGAAGGAAAAGGGAACTTGTAGAAAGAACCCCTCTAAAGTACACAAATGTCCTGTTGGTCTGTAGAATGGCAGTGGTGCGCCAATTCTAGTCTGTCGATGTGTCCGAGGGCTAACGACTGGTCCGAGCCCTTTCGAGATGCTGTAGTAGAAACGAATGGTCCGAGCAATGGTACCTGCGCTGATTGAGGCAAACGGTAATACCAAGGTACACACGTCTGGCTGTAAGAATTTCACCAAGTCTCAGTCGCTGCGACTTGTTAGTGTTGCTCGTCGTCTCAGGTCGAGAAGTAAGGGCGTACAAGAGAGCAAAAGCAGATTCTCGTGGAACTGTGGTTGATGTCTAACACGAAGTGTTCGGTAGGGCCCGATTTCCTGGTTGCGCAGATGTAGTGCTACCTGGGGTGTCACACAGTATCTGTGTATGAGGGTTTTGGGTTCAACGACAGTAGCTCATGTGCTCTGACTGTACTGGTGTTGTAGTTCGACACTGATTGGGGAATGCTCCGGACTGGCTCTGTGTTCTCCGTTGGTACTTGAATCCAAGGCTATGGATGGTGGCGTGTGATTCCAGATGAGTATGGAGACGACAAGAGGTAGTCACAATCAACGTAGTCTGCAGCGGCGTTGCAAAGAGGCTGTGTTGTGGGTTGGAGAAGGGTGATGCACTGATACTTTGGCGGGGAGCAAAGGTGAGCCTCGTCAAGTGTTTGGCAGTGGTAGTGGTGGTTGATGGTGGAGTTGGAGGCTGGAGGCGTGTGGAGTGGCGATCACTCCTTGTTAAGCTCAAGACCTGGGCGCCCTAGGAAGGAGCGATGGCGGAGAAGGCTGGAACCTGGGTGGACTAAGAAGGCTTTGTTACCGCGAGCGAGTGGAGAGCGCTGGGTCTTTACGTATATGTACGGCAGGCTAGGGTTGTCAGGGTGGGTGGGCTCGCGTGGCTGACTGGCGCGCTGGGGCTTTTGCACTATCAAGGGCTCAACCAGGCGATAGGGACCGTCCAAGCCTTTTGAGGGTGATCTGGATCGGGATGGGAGATGAAGAATCAGCCCAAAAGCTAGCCTCAGGTGAGGGTGCGGGAGCGCTACTCAGAGACGCACTTTGTCACAATAAGGCAATGCAAACGAGGCACGGCAGAAGCAATGCGACGAATGAATAATAAACCCACACCGTTCAGACTCAATTTAGAGAGCTAGACGAACATGGGGCCGCACACAGTAATGCATGACCAGGGGGTGAAAGCTCCTACCATAGCCAGACCCTGTCGGCAGACCATCTGTCGGAGTAAGTCCTGCTGGCTTGCGGGACGGCTTGGACCAGCAAAGTGGGCGAGCTCATGGCTTGCGCCGGACCGCAGAGCGAATGGACGTTCTGTCAGCACATTCACTAATATTGGTGATGATGCTGGATGATGGTCACTATGATGGGCAGCGCAGGCTGCCGAGGGGTGGGGGGAGGGGGATGGACGTGAGGGGAATTGTTTGATGCTGGCACAAGACGACGGGCGGGTGGCGCGAGTGGACAAATTTGGGTGGACATGCGGCTCTCCTGACCCAGGCTTGCGGCACGACAAGAGACAGACACACGGCGGAGTGCTTTTGTCTCCCCCTCCCCCCAGTACCAAGGGTCAGGAGCACCCTCAGAGCGAGTGTAATATGCATCGGGACTGGCGCCAAGGGGACCTGGGAGAGCCTGATGGCGCACGGACGCGGTCTGGCCCAAGGAGCGCCCGGAGGGGTGGTCAGAGAGACAAAGCCAAAACTCTACGATAACCTTTCCCCCCTTTGCTCAAGCCCGCCGTTTGTGAAGGGCCAATGGCCGTTAGCTAGCAGTGCTACCAGACTTGGCCAGAGGGATCGTCGTGATGTGCAGATGGGGGCATGGGAGCGCTAGGCGAGTGGACAGGAGCGCTCCAGTCTGTAGCAGACGTCGGCCATCCATGACGCTGCACAATCACAATCCCCAGGGCTCAGCGTCAAGTCCGGTGGGTATGGGTGTGCGCGTGTGTGTGTCTGGCGAGCGAGAAACAAAGTGCAGCTGGAGGAGAAGCATCCCTGCGGGTGGTCCAGTTCGGCGACCAGACCTGCGGCCGTGCTTTTACCGCTTTCTCATGTTAGCTGACGAAATGGCGCTGTGGAAAACGGGCCCAGGCTAGCCGAGATGGAGCATGACGGCCAGCTGCACATGATTGCAGTGATGGGCTGCCGAAGACGCTTGAGCATGTGTGTTTCGAGGTAAGATGGGGGTGGGTGTATGGATGCCAAGCAGCCGATCGACGCGATACCCGTTCCCTGTAGGTTATAGGGTAGGGATAGTGGGAAAAGACATGAATTGCGGAGCCATCGCATGAGGGTCGGAGCGTCATTGCGGAAGGCTGGTGATGGCATCGAGAGCGAAGCCATTGGGCGGAGCAGCAGTGGGTGACGGTCTAAAATTAGGCGAAATGGTATATTGCTTAGGGCACGTGTGCGCCTGCAAAGGGCAAGGTGGAATAAGCAGCAGCCTGGGTCCCTGTCCGCCTCAATCTCGTCCCTCACCACTCGCAACCCAGTGCCGTCGTACATTCTTCCTAGATGGGCGCCTTTCCACGTGGAGGTGCATTGGCTATACGTTTCCGGCCCATTGTTTTTGCGCGCGTCTGCTGCCGTCGCCTGGGGGGCCTATGATGGGATTGGTGCCGGCCCAGCCAACAGCGACAGACTACCGGGCGCTGCGCAGGCACACACACACACATACACATACACATACACGCCCGTCACTGCTGCTGGCCTTGTACCCACCTGCAATGCTGTCGGTGGTGGTGGTGGTAGTAGTAGTAGTAGTAGTAGTAGTAGTAGTAGTAGTAGTAGTAGTAGTAGTAGTAGTAGTAGTAGTAGTAGTAGTAGTGGTGGTGATGCTGCTTGAGGCATGCATATACCTGTCACTTTGTCCCTGTGCTGTGCAGTCACGTCGAATCAAGGCTAGGTGCAGCCCGCCTCGCCAAAGGGCCTTTCCCGGCGGCCTGGTTTGACCAGCTGGCGGAACAAGAGAGGAACAAGGAACCGGGGACGACTCCGCGGTCGATCCGACTCTGGGTTCGTCTGGATAATGGCAGGCCCCGTGCTGGCGCTGGAAGGCTGATGCCACAGACCATTGTTTTGGGGCAGCCGCTGCGACGACTAGCTCAGGCGTGCTGCAGGGCCAAGCGCACACAGATGGCGTAGCCGCGGGGCCTTGTCCGGCTCCTCGTACTGTACACTGTCGGGTTGCCGTGGGCGTCGCAACGTGGGCAAGCCCCGCAAGTGCCTACGTACGTACGTATAATACGTACCATAGTACGATTATGTACGTACATAGTTGCCCGTGTATAAATGGATAGACAGATGTATCCAAGCACACGCACACGCCCATGTATCCGCCTATGCTGGGGATGCCGGATATCGACAGGGGCGGTGCAGCCGAGTGTTGCAAAAAAGGTAAAAAAGAAAACAACACATGTCCAGGGCTGCGCAGCGCAGCGCATCGCACGCAAGACGGCATGCTCCCTTTCATCTCTCAGCGTGTTTTGTCACTGTGATGGGGATGCGAGGTTGGGTCTAATCCTAGATGTCCACAGCCAATCACGTACGCGGATAAGCGAAACCGGAGTAGGTTTCCTGATTCGCTTGATCGGCTGTACCAACACACATCCACCCACCCACCCACCCACCCACACCCACACCCTCCCTCTCCCACCTGCAACGCTCTTGACGGCTGAACGGGGGTCTGGAGCCTTGAGCGCCAGCAACCTTTCAACGCATCGTCTCGCTTGGCTGCTCCAACGCGCTTGTGCTTGTTTGCATCTACTGCAGAGTAGAGTACAGTACGAGTACGAGTACGTACAGTAGAGTGTGCACTATGGACGCATCTGCACGCTCTCGCACTCGCTCCAACCAGGCAGCCAGGCAGCCAGTGCCCCCCTCTCAGCGCCCTGGACAAATCTGAACCCCACTACTACACATCGTCATGTCATCATCCGCCCGCCTGTCACCAGCCTTGCCCGCCCCATCTAAATGACTGCTCGCTCGACTGCCTCCAAGGCCGCCAGCTAGTAGAGTGGGCATTTGCTTCCACACGGCGCCGCCAGCTCGTCACATCGCTCCCCCCTCCCTTCCTCCATCCACCATGCCTCCCGACGTGACGGCCTTCCCCTCCCCCCTAATCGGCCACCCGTCAAGCCAGATCAACGGCCTCCCCCGCCGAGCTGGCTACGCTAGAGGTCCCGCCCGTTCTACCCTACCGATCTCTCTGCACAAGCGTCTCAGGCGTTCGGGGTGCCCGTGGCCCCACATCTCTCTAGCCCTTGATAACACGCGGGTTGCAAGACCCAGTTCAGCGTCTGGCTTTAGCGTAACCAGCTGGCCCCCCTTCCCCGTCACCGCCAAGTCCACCCATCCCAGGTCCGGAGTCTTATTCCTCTAGCCGACGACGCCTACCTGTGCCCATGACGCCCACGACGCCCTAACCGCCCCCCTGGATCTCTGTTGACGCACTGCCTGAATTGCCAAAAGCAAAACCGCTCTCGCTCTCGCTTCGCATCCAGTCCGCATCCGAAGGCTGCGGCGGCCACGTTGTGAGCCGCACCTCCTCTCCCACCGCCCGCAAGCCCACCCGCCTCAGCACAGTCATGGCAGCCAGCGTGCTGGGCTTCACCAGTGCGCTTCTTTCCAAGCCCTCTGCAGCCTCCTCAAAGAACGACTCCAGGGCCCATTGCTTATACATGGGCCGTCGTCACCACCACCATTCTCATTGCGCGCGCGTGTGTATACATGTGTGTTGCTTGTTGTGTTCGCGGCCGCGGCCTCGTCACGGGTCACACCGGCTAAGGGAGTATATTGCACCAGTCAGACTGGCCGGCGTGTTGACAATTACCTGCTTGCATGACTGAGTCGCTGTGAAATGACGTCCTGTACCCCCCCACGTTACTAAAGTTTCCAGCTCTGGACTCAATAGCTTCGTCTCCTGCGTGATGCAGCCGAAAGAAAACAACCCAAGGTTTGGGCCTCAAGATTTCCACTACCAATTCGCAACTAGGGCTAGGGCTCGGGTTCGCCTCGCCTCCCCCTGCTCTACCCAGCTCGACCTGTGTCAAACTACGTTTAGGCCAGCTCCCACCAACCTGCATACTTGTTTTGTCGCTTCTAACCGCTCTGGAACGCTTCCAACACGGCCATGATATGATTACTAGTCTTGGTCAGCCCGCTCACGAGCGCTAGTTTCAATCTCTTCTCTATCCGGGACCGATTGGCAGCATGCTTCCACTGCCGCGCAGGCCGCCCGGCTCAGCCTGGCCTCTCTCCCTCCCTTTTCCCCCCAATTGCCGGCAAAAACTCGCCGCACGCCTGCTGATTTCCCCGAGCAAAAGCTGCGTACGTGCCCATTACGTTCATGTCGGAGTCAAGGCCATGCCGCGAATACATACAAGCCCAAGCTTTGTATGTGCCGGCATCGCATCCGGTCTGCTAAGACCGTACCTGCATCAAAGGCATACCCTCAACCATACGTCTGTGTGGCGGACGCCATCATCTCAACTCCGCACCCAGGATCTCGCTGATCTTTGCCAGCCACCTTGTTCTTTGCCTGAACCAGGACGCACCACTTATCATGCCCGCTAAGCTAAACGCCCGCAAAAGCCTTCCCGTCTGGCAAGTGCGCCACTGATCGATGATGTACACAGGGTACACCGTTGTACGACATTTTGCTGTCGTCGGAGGATAATCCGCTTTGGTCACCAGTTGACTGCCGTTGCCGAGTCTTTTGCCCACTTCCGGACGGTCCAGCCAGAAGACGGCTATTTCCGACTCGCCCATGCAAGTTTTGTTCCATCATGGGTCTAAAGAACACCTGATGAGTTGCATCTAGATGAGGTGTCCAGGTGCGCAGTGGAGGGGCGCTGACACAATATCTGTCAACAAAATAGCATGCACAGGTGAAACGCTATTCGCCCAAACATGTAGTAGTCGCTTGGCTGTCGGTCATCGAGGCGACAGCCAAATCCTTCTCGGCTGTTCGTGCATCCATATTGGTGGACAAGCGCGCAGTCTGCAAAATCTCCGCCAATGGTCTGGGTCGGCCTTGGGAATGCCGACCAGCTCTCCACACGCTGCCGGGTAGCCTGGACCAATCATGAGCAGCCCATATCACTCTCTCGGTTTCATCCATCCATTCTCGTGAAAAGGTGCATACCCTGACGCCATCTTCTCAGTACTATCTCGACGAAGCTCATCTGCTCCTACTCTACGCACGCGCGCACGCAACGCCATCGCACTAGAGAGTGGTTGGACTACGCTTAGGTTGAGGCGACATAATATCAAACCGACCTGGCCTGATGCTACAACTCACTCTGCATATGCAAGAGGGGCCCAACTCATCCAATTAGCGAAAAACTGTTTTTGCTTTTTCCATTTCTGTCACCGTTTTTGCAATCTTCCCACGCTTCCTCAACAAGTCATGTCTCAGTTTGCCGGGTGAAAATTTGCTTAGCTACCTCGTGAGAGCGCATACATGTCGCTGAGTGTAACATTATTAGAGTTAGTTGCTTATGTGTGGCAGGTACAAGGAAATTGCCATGCTGTGATGATTACATATCTACACAAGCAATAACTAGTATTCCTTGTGAGATCGCTAGTCCCGTGTACCAGTGTCCAAGGATGGCTGCTTGTAATTACTGCAGCTTACATTTGACGTGCAGCAAGGTTAGCCCCAAACACCATGACTACAACCAGAGCACGCCGTCTGACCTCCATCCACGCCTTGGCGCTCGTTGGTCCCGGCTATTCGGGGGCCATTTTGGCCCTGCTTTCGCTTGGTATGCTTGTTTGTCAGAGTGGCTGGCTTTCGTTGCTGCAACTCACTCATCGTCGGGCGTCAGGTAGAGAAGGATTGCCAAGGAACACGGCACACAATCATCAAGTGGGCTTGCGGCGGCGGCGGCGGGCGCGTTGACCGCACTACTGTGTACATGGCGCTTCGGAAGGTGGCTCTGTCCAATGCAAGCTGTCCAGCTTCATCCCCATTCGAACAAGGCGCTTTCTTTATTCTTCAAATCTTTGGCGATGGCGAATACCAATGACTACGGCATCCCATAATTGGAACATGCAAAGCAACAAAGTTGGCCTTTCCCGGCGGTATTCCGTATAGAGAGGTGAGCTGATGGGCTGTGCTGCCTGGCGACTACAGATAAAACTTTCCGCACGCAGTTTGTCACCCAACAGGCTATGACAAACTTTGATGCTGATGAGGGGCCAGACCGATAAGAGCTCTTTTCGGGTCTCCTTTATGCCGCAAGAGGGAGAAAGAGTCCCTTTTCGGCTTTATAGAAAAGTCAGAAGACTAGCTGCTCCGCTTAAACATAAGATACTGGTGTTGATAACCTTGCCCTGTTTCTAACCAATTTATGTGTTGAGTGTGTATGTACACTCAGCTTACATCCCCAGTGTTTCGGACTTGGAGAAAGAGAGACGCCAACCCGGTACTTCCTCGATTAGCTCAGAGGAGGATACGACAACGGTGGAGCCCAGAACAACTGATCAAGCAAGGGTTTTTTCTTCCTTACTTTTGCTTTGATACCCACAGTTTGTCTCACTTTGCTAAGAATATGCATATCTGTATTGATCATCTGCGCTTGCGCCTTTGGATAGAAGAAGAAGCAGGACGGGGCGTAAGTGTCAAGCTTGAATGGATGCAGGCTTACCTGAGCGGAGTCGGCAATGTTACAGTCACACTTGACTTACCGTAACAGAATTCAACGTCACAGGACCCAGTCTCGCATCGATCTATACGTTGAACACGTGTCCAGCTTGTCTGGCCATGTTGAAGAGTTGCAGTGTTATGAGCAACTTGTTCATCGAGTTCCTCCCTCCAGATCGGATCGCCACTTGCTTCGATAAGACGAGAACGCATTTGGAATCGAGCATTACTTAGCTTGAGGCGGGAAACCGAGTTACCGCTCTGGCATAGACTATCCAAATCGCAGCACAGTGAGGTTTCCATGGCGAGACCGATCTAGTTGCGTCAGGCTGAACCTGTCTGGCGTGCTATGCAATCCATCGTGACACACATACATACACGAATGCCTTACAGGGGGGAGGGGAGATTTTGTTGTCGCTTGTAGACCTGTGCTGACTATTAGGCCCCCTCCCCACTCTGAGTTAACGCTTCCCTGTATTGCGTTTACGTACTTGCCGAATCGGGTTTTTAATGCGAAGAAAAGTAGGCAGACACGTCACATCAGCTGTAAGCGCTGGTAGTGATTGCCGTATGTTATTTTGGTGTTTGGATGGCAGGTGAGTGTGCTGATTGTCTTTCAGACGCAACTTTTTTTCTTTGCCTTATTTAGTTGTCTGTCATAACAGATGGATCTGATGTGGTGTGGGAGCTTGAAAACTGAGTGAATTTCTACTCTAATCGATTCTATTGCGGTTTCCAGTATGTTTTTTTCGGGTAAGTTACTATGAGAAAACAGGCTGGTAGGCTCATAGTTACGCTTGTTGCGCTTGTAACGTCACATTCATTCCAACCTGTCGTTCTCTGTGTTTGTAAAATCATATTTTATCACTTGATTGGGCATGCCGCATTTCAGAAGATACAGCTGTCTTTGAGCTGTACAGCGTTGACAGACTCATACGGATTCCCCCCGTCTCCCTAGGTGGACAGTAGCCTGCTCACTCCGAGCCTTGAATCTGCCATTTCAAAATCCCATTTACGTCACATGAAGCTAGACTCACAAATTAAACAAACTGCAGCCCACAATGCCTCAGGACAAGCCCCAAGTCCAAGCCCAGGCGCCAGCCAAAAGGCGCCACCGCACTGTCTATATGACGTTACCATCCCCCCTCTCAAAAAACGCCCCAATCCCGCGTAAAGGTAGGTATACGCTGAACAGCACAAGAAGCAAGTCAAAAACTACCCAAAGAAGAAAACAATCAATCACTGCACCTCGTATCGGCCTTGATCTTCGCTACATCTACCATCGCCTGTATCTGAATGGGCAACAACCAAAAAAAATAGTGGGGCCCATATTCATCTGCTTCTTTTATTTTATTTTTTGGGGCCTTTCCAAGCTGATTGTAAAAGATCAATGGCCATGGCCAAAGCAAAGGAAAAAAGCGGTGTTGACTACTTACACGGAATCTTCTGGGTCATGTAGCGACTTGTGATTGCCGATATCGCGAAAAGAAGAAGAAAAAAAAATAAGATCTGAGCGATTTCTGGAAAGAGTGCCATGTTTCGGATGCCACTAGGGGGGGTTGGTGGGAATCTAAGCTACTTTACCGGTCGGTTTGGAAAGAAGGGGTGGAAGGGGAAGGGTGTGTGTGCTCTCCCCGCGAAAAGGCGAGAAAGAAGGGAACGGGACGGGTAAGCTCCGGGCTTCTGTTGCTGCGCAGTTTGTTTGTTTTTTGCTTAAGGTGAGGGATTGGTTGAAACGGGTATGTGGGATATACTGTCTTTTTGCTTCTTCTGTGATGTTTTTTCTTTGCTTGTTTGGAAAGGTTGCTTTTTACCTTCCGAAACGTTGCGTCGCACGCATTGTCCTTGATCCCCCTCTCTCTTCCTTCTCTCTCCCTCCTCCCCCCTCCTTTCTAGCGCGAAGGAAAGAAGCAAGTTAGACGTGCATGCACGCTGTGCATGGGAAAAAGGAAAGAGATAAGATGGACGGGGGAGAGGGGATCAAGGGAAAAGAAATGCGGCCGTTTGCTTTTGGCTTCGGCTATCGTACGTATCTTCCCGTACCTTCTTCAGGTTCCGTCATGAACATCTAATTTGGTTTTTTGGGCTGCATGCTTCCTGCCATTGCGGTACGGCCTTTTTGCTTTCCATCACCCTAAATCCTATACAGGGTCCAGTTAAGAGGCTGTTGCTTTTGACTGAACCCGCTCTTTTATTTTGTTCGCTTGTTTTCTTTCTTCTTCTTTCCATGTCGCTTTGTATTCTTTTTTTTCCAAGCAAGCGCTCATTGCCCCCCTTGCCCTACATTCCCTTGATCACTAAATCTTGGATTGGAGTGATGTCGGCATTAACGATATGTATCATGAGCACGTCATGCCGGTGCAGTTGCAGTGCAAGAGCGTCTAAAATTGCTTTTTTCTGACTTCGCTTTTTCGTCCGTGGGGTTCGCTTTCGCGATGGTGGTCTACTTGCCGGTAACAGGTTTTACACCTGCAGTACCCTTGTGCATGCCGTTTGATGGGCAAGGTGCCGATTTGATGACGGATTTTCTTCCGGTGGAGCAATTACGACTTGGCTGATCCAGATTTTGTTTCCAGTACAAAGGAAGGAAGGAGACGCATGGACTCGGAATCGGATCGATGAGTATGTACGAACATGGCACCCTACTCTGGAGCTTATGCTGTTTTGAATATCTGTGTTTACTTTTGGCGGCTGGAGTGAGGCTGGGGCGATAGGCATCGATATCGAGGAATTATCAATACGTTGTTATTATTCTGATAAGAGGCCTTGAGGCGGAAGTCGGCATTGTAGATGATGTCGCGAACGCAAAGATAGACAAGGGCAACGCATTGTATCAGACTTTTGAAGCTCAGACTCAGTCTCATATAGATTCTGTAGTTGCTTTCGCAAGGATTTGGAATGTTGTACTGGATTCTTGGTGACATGCCTCGATCACACTACCATGATCGAGTTCAGTTGACGGTCGAGTTCAGTCGTGAGGTGGCGATACATACTAAGTTGAGTATCTCTAAATACGAATTGCAAGATCGAACAGGAGGTCTTCTAGGCTACTTCTTGTCAAATCCTATTACTGGCGAGAAAAGCGACCTTGCACTGGAGTTTTATCATGTTTCTATCACATATCACCATGATGATGGCATTGGCACATTTGAAGATAGTTAAGAAGAATACATGAATATTTCCACATAATGGCGACATGGTTCACTCTGTAGGAACAACTATGAGATGATTCTAGTGAAAGTTGAGCTGTCAAAATTGAACTGGCTGCTCTGAAACCATGCACTCAATATCTTGTAATGCTACATCTTATCTTAGGTCTTTCAGAATGTTAGCTTAAATGACTGAAGTACCAACGTGATATAAACCAAAATATGTAATTTTGTAACCTGAGAGACTAGTCAAGAGAATTGTGATCACTTCCATAGAATAAACAGGTGGCGTAGAAACAAATTCCTGTGTATGTTGGGAATGACTTCTTAAAGTCTTGTTTCTGGGTAGTGCCCTTCACTGACTAATGTGGTCTGTTTTTCATGACTTTTCTTCACCCATCGTTCATAACATCATCACGAAAGACACACACGGAGTTTCCCGTTTTCTATGCAAGGTAAACATCTCCTTCGCCGACTTTCGCAGCTTTGTTACGATCATTTCTTCCAAATTTACTCAATTTCACAGGGACTAGTCTCGAAATACCTAGTGAAACCCTAACACCAAAACCCTCATCTCCGCTCCCACAAATAGTCAAGCAACCCTCACACCAACCCACCCCCCTCTGTCCCACACACCCAGCCCAAGTCCTCGGATACCACCACCCGCCCCAGCATAGCATCTCCGACCTAAGACACGAATCAGAGCCCATGGCTCTCATATCACACAAGCCCAGCAGCCCCAGTCAAGCCCTCTTCTCCGCCGTACAACAATGACTCCCAGCTCCACTAGTGCGTATACCGTGCAACCAATCGCATCTCAAAGAAATGTGCGCCTCTGGCGTTTTTTCTGCGAGTCGGAGACAGAACAACTGGTAACACAGGATTGGTATGTAAGACTGGGGTGGAAATCGGTGGGAAATTGAGGCAATGAGTTGGATTTTGTGGGCTGATGTTCGTAACTGAAAGCGGTGGAACTTACCGACTCTCTTTTCTGTCTCTTCTTACCTCTTGCATTTTGGAGATGCGGTGTCGTACGAGCTGTTTTTTGGGATGTGGGTGGGGGAATGTGGTTGTACAAGATATAGGAGGTGGTCGGACGAGATTGGGGGGCTGACGCAGTGAAGAGGTAAGTTTGTGTAAGTATGGTGATTGGGAATAGGTGCTTGGGTAGGAAAATGGGCTTTTTTGGCATGAGGATAGTGATTGGTGTGGGGACTTTTGGTTGTCGCGGCAGTGATTTAATCAAAATGTACACGGTGGGTATATGACTTTGCAAGTTTTCAATCTATATATTACGTCTCACATTTTCATGTTCTCCGTGAATTCTTGCTTAGAATTTCCATTCAAACATGCTTTCCATCCTGGTCATTCGTGTTATAAAGGGTGAGAGATTCGAAAGTTGACGCGTTGTGGCCTGTAAATGGAGAAACAATTGTTACGCGGAACCTCGTTGTAGTCTACTCTATACTATGAACCGTAGTGTGATGCCAGGCGATAATTAACTTGAATTGTATTTAATATGAGCAAATAAGGTTGGTTAGTATCCGTTTAGAGTCGTCTAGCTGTCGAATTAAATTTTTCAAGTCAGGTTTTCTTATGAAGAAGCTGGCTAGGTCATGACTCGGGTGTATTCTCAATGACAGTACCATAATCTTTTAATCTCACGATTTTCCTCTGCGCCCTCAATTTCTTTATGACGGCCTCGGAGACATTTGCTCGCCGGATTCCGGAGACGGAGACTTTTTGTAAACAAGGCCACCGCTCCTCGTTGTTGATCACCTACAGTCTTGAGCATAGCTTCCGTCGAAAACGGCGATTTCCGTTCCGTTTATGCCCTCGTGCCTATATTGAAGGCAATATATGTAGTATGCGCTTCACCCGAGGAGAGATTTACTGGCTGTACTCTCGACTACCCTCTGAACCCCACCTTTGCACCACCACCAGCCATCATCATGACCGACTCACAAGGCACCAAACCATCTCTACCTAAGTTTGATCCAGACAACTGTCAAACCTACCCGGCAAGTTGCCACTGCGGTATCGTACAGTACTCGGTCCTTCTCTCCCCACCACTACCCCAGTGGAAGGTCGTATCGTGCAACTGCAGCATCTGCACTCGCAACGGTTACTTGCTAGTATATCCCGAGAGGTCGCAGCTACACATAAAGAGCGGTGAAGATATGCTAAGAGACTATTCTTTTGGGATGAAAAGAAATCTGCACAAGTTTTGCGCAAACTGTGGGAGCGCGGTTTGGTTTGACCCAAGAATGTGGCAACTTGAAGAGACTGGACCCGATTTATTGGGTATGAATGTATGCTGTATGATTGATTAGTCGGGGTTAGAATGTAGCTAATAAACTGTGTAGGTTCGCATGTTCCACGATGTTGACATGAGGGCATTGGACATTATGCTAGTGGATGATAAACAACAGGCAGGAAAGCCAGAAAAGGAGCAGTCGTGATGATGTATATTGATATGGTTCGACATGTATAAGAGGTAGCAATATCCAATGTTTAATGCTCATGTATACTTGAATTGAGTGCTTCCAACACAATGCATCTGGGTGTGTAGTATGGCGGAATAATGCCGCTCACAAGTCGAGGCACCATAAGTGCCAAGCCGCTAAGGTTGAGCCTCGGTGAACTAATCCTTGTCACCAGCTCAAGGTTCCGTCCCAACTATCACCGACTGCGATATCTGCAATCAAGAATACAAAATATGTCTCGAGCGCGCATCTTCCTCAATCGCACTCCTTTCACAGCGCCTTGTCGGGCTTCGCGCCAATTCGTCCGCCACTCCCGCAATGCCCAAATCCTCGAGCTTCCCCTCCAATCCCGCATCCGCTGGTCCTACCTGTGGTACGCCAGCATCCTCGCCCTAGGAATAACAACTGGCATGGGTGCCCGCCATTTCGCTGCGCCGCTCGGTCTTCCTGAGCCCGGTTCGCCAGATGATGACCTAATCCTTGATTCCCTCAGCCGCGACGTTGACGCTCTGGAGATTGTACAATCACTCCGATCGCAATCATACAACCTACACACCGATACTGCCCTCCGGTCAGGACCAGGATTGACGTCTGCACCTGCTCCCGGAAGTCGGAAGATATCAGCTTACAAAGGATGGCTGGAGCTGGATTTAGATTTCGGTAGGGAGAATGACGGGAAGAAAGGCGTTTTGGGTACTATGGGCGGGGCAAGGGGACTGGGAGTGCAGAGGGCATTTTGGAATGCCGAGACCAGAGAGATGGTGGCGGTGGTATGGATTGGAGGAGGACTGAGTGGCTGGCCAGGCGTCGCGCATGGAGGGGCTATAGCGACTATCTTTGAGGAGATTTTTGCGAGAATGGCGAAGGGTCCAGATGGACTTGTTGGTATGTATAATAATGCATTTGTACCCCATTTCACACCCAGGTTTTTCACTGACGAGAGTATCCAGAACCAGTCCATCGCCCCGACTCTCTTTCCTTGACCTACGCGAAACCTACGCACAGCCTCGATTTCTACGTCATACGCGCTGCTTTCTCCAAACCTGATCTGCCACAGTCTGAACCACCACCTGAGCCGGAATCTGAACCTACAAAGAGCTGGTTGGCATGGCTGTCACCAAAGAAGGACCTCACAAAGAAGCCACAGGCTTCCAATCAGGAGATCATTGCGACCCTTGAGAATATCAAGGGGGAGTTGTGTGTAAAAGCTAAAGGCACTTTTGGCAAATTGTGATTGAATTGATAGAAGGTATGACGGAAAATTTGGGAGCGCAGTAGCGCAGAGTCGGTAATCCGATGTGCACAATGAGATACCCACGAGCGAAGAGCGAGTTTTGAAATGCACCTACCCCTGTCTCAACAACATGCGTTTAATTTTATGTTGAGCCATAAATCAATCGGGAGCTTTGATGTGCGCACTATGTGGAAACTGTTTTCTCAGTACACGCTCGTTTTAGAAGTTTACGGGGTTGCCAGAGTTTTTCAATGCCAAACAATCCTTGTACATTGATTAGGCTGGAAAGAGCTTGGAAGATGCTCCTAACTCATAATAAATGCTCCTGCTTTCAAAGACTTGTTCCAGATAGCACAACCCATATTGAGGCATGGTGCCATCCCAACGATACTACCTTCACTCTGTATTTAGTTTGCTCGCTTTTCTTCTACACTGATCCATAAACATGCCAAAGAACTGAGACTCTTCCGAACGCAACTATAACACTACAGCGAACAAACAAGCATACATACAAGAAACTACTCAGCTTCCATAAAGCTTTCGCCCACAGTTTACGGTCTACACGCTCCATAATCTGAATATACCACCACCCACGTCAGTATGCGCATACAACAGCGCACCACCTTTCTGCTACCAATTTACCTATCCCTTATCCTACCCAGCACCTTCACCGCCGCCAACCAAATCGAATATGTACGAGCAACAATCAACGGCATCCGTACACTCGTCCGAGACGACCGCCAACCATTCCTCTACACGACCGACTACGCAGACTGCCTCGGCAACAGCGCCATCAATATCACTCGCTTTGATGCAGCGTACTACAAAGACAACATGACAATCATGTTTCATCTACGAGGAGAGGCGACGTTACAAGACCACGTCATGCTCAACATCGGCGTCTTTGCATACGGCGAGAGCAGATTCGATTTCACATTTAACCCCTGTGACGCGAACATCTGGAGGTAAAATCACCCCTTGTCTCCCATCAAGAAAACATCACTAATAATTGTTGAAAAGCGCGTGTCCCGTCCGGCCTGGGACGCCCATCAAAGCCGCGGGTATCATACACATTAGCGCAGATGACGTAGCAGAAATCCCCGAGCTGGCACTCAGCATTCCGGACTTCGAGGGGCAGGCTGTGATACGCTTGTTTGCAAATGCGACGAAGAGCGAAGTTGGGTGGCTTGCTGCGGGGATTACGAATGGGTGGACGTTTCGACATCAGTACTGCGTCGGGGCTGTTCTGGGGGGTTTCACGCTGGCAGCGATCACTTCGTCGTTTGCTACAGCTGCGTGCGGCGCTGATGTGCTCAGTATGCGGATGCATTATGCACATTCAATGTCGGTCTCCGTTGTGCTTTCCGTGTGGCATCATATTTTCTTTAGCGGAGCGCTTGAGATGGATTGGCCGAGTGTTCTAGTGGCTTTTTGGAGTAATTATGCTTGGGCTGGGGGAATGATATGCTACGAGCCGATGCAGAGTATTATTAATGGGTTTATCGGCTTGAAAGAGGGGGACGAGGTATGGACTCGTGCTGCTGGCACGGGTCAAAGCGATCCGTATATTGGGAGGGGAGTTAATATTCATGGGATATATGGACCGGATGCTCTGCCCACAGAGCTCGGTTTCCAGAACACTGTCAAGAAGCGTTACCTGACCAATGTCAGCAGTGGATTCAAGTACGACGGAAAGCAAGTCAAGCCTGGATTACCACTTCCGGGCGACTACTCCGGGTTTGCAGGTACACTTGCGATGCAGCGAATCCCAGCACGCAACGCCTTCATGACCGGGCTCCTCTGGCTTCTGTTCCTAACCGTATGCGCCATTATCTCAATTCTCACTCTGAAAGCAACCATCGAGATATTGACCAGTCTCCACATTGTACGTCAGAATCGCCTCAAGTACTTCCGAAGCCATTACCTCGCATACATTGCTGCAACGCTACTACGCATCCTTTTTATCAGCTTCTTCGCAATAATTTTCCTCTCCATATCTCAGCTTTCCTTGCCAGCATCACCAGAAACCATCGGTATCACCTGCATAGTCTTTGTGACTGTAGTGCTTGGACTCGGTAGCGTTGCTGCGTGTGCTTGCTTTTCCAGGTTGCGTCTCAGAGGATATGTGTTTGAGCCAGATCGGATTAACGTATCAAAGCATCGACTACTTAAGGTGATACCGTGGTACAGTATCTCAAGGAGTAGCGGAGACCCGCCTTTGAGAGACACAGTGTGTGTTGGCTCTGTTCTATGGTGGAGAATACATGCCATGGCGGACTTGCCGTCGATTCATTCCGACGAAGAATATACAGCGAAGTTCGGATGGCTTGTATCTCGTTACAGAAAAAGCCGTTGGTGGTTCTTTGTGGTCTGGTTGCTCTATGAATTCTTCCGAGCCGCTTTCCTTGCTGGGGCCTCCAGTCAGCCTACTGTGCAGGTTTTTGGTCTACTGGCAATCGAGATAGTTGCGTTCGTTACTTTTATTCTCCTCCAGCCATTTGAAGGACAACGTCCAAATGTAATAGCGATATATCTCCTCGGCTTCAGCAAGGTTACTACTACAGCATTTTCTGCAGCCTTTAATCCGCGTTTCGGTATCGCCCGCATTACTGCGACAGTGATTGGGATCGTCATCATTGTTATTCAAGGCCTTTTGACTATTGCCGTCATGATACTTATTCTGATTGGCGCGGTTTTGAGTTACATGTCGATATCACGAGACCATGCAGAAATGAAGCCAAAGAGTTGGACTGCAACCCGCGAGAAATACTTTGAGAACATGGCTCTTGCAGAGCAAGATTCTCCGCGATGGAGAAAGCGCCCAGGCACAGAGTATATCATAACGGGTGTCGCGAGAACCCCATACTTTGAAGTCAAGCAAGTACCGCGAGTGGCCAAGATCGAAGATGAAGACATCGAATTCATGGAGGAAGTCTCCCAAGTCCCTTACCCATCCCAGCCAGTACTATCTCCAAATCGCACTTTAGTCTCAGATTCGCCGAGATCTCAGCTAGAGCGTAGCAGAGCAGGCAGCTTCCAATCACAAGCCTCATACTCGAGCTTACTACCGCGAGCAGCCCGCTTGCACCGTGCAAACTGGAGCACGCACGACCTCAATGACGCAACAGGAAGTAGACGCCACAGGGCCGTGAGCGATACTAGTCTCATTTCCAGACCAAGGCATGTAGAGAAGTTCGAGGGAAAACCAAGTCCTGGTGGGGCTTCCATGAAGCGATCGGATACTCCCGCGCTCTTGTCATATGGGTATGCAGACGGGGGTCGAATGGAGCATGTGGAGAATGTGGCGCTGGGTAGATTGAAGGCGATCTCCTGAACAAAGTTTGGAAGGCCGATTGGAGATTAACGTGCCTCCCGACAAGACGTTTTCCCCGGGAGACAGTATACATCTCCCCACTTTCAATGGAGATGGTATGGTCATACGACAGTAGCGATACACGGAGTATGTGAGTGAGTTATCTCATAACGGCTTTTGATCACTCTGCTGGAATAAGAACAGTGTCATGGCGGATGACAAGACTGGCAGCGAAGCCTTGCTTGCTATAGCCCTGGTTGCTATAATCGCATAGCATTGGTATCTCAACCCAGTGTCAGGAACACGAGGGTCTCCCTATTATCGGCTGGGAGTGTATATGGCGATAGAAGGGTGAAAGAAGGCCTCATCTTGTAGGACAAGACGTCATTAGTCACAGGTCTATGATATCACAACGGGTATCGTCTCCGGGCTGTATTTAGGAGGCTGGCCATGGCATGTTTATGACAGGTATGCGTAACGAATATAGCACAACAAACAAGAGCACAAGAGGTCAAGACGACTATGCAACAGTGCCGGCGTGGCTGGGAATACGTGATGTAGTTGGGACAGGCCTCGGCTCCAGACCCACCTGTGGTGCCCAAGTTCAAGAGCGGTGTCGAGCTTGCCAAACGGGCGTCACCAGCCACATCAATCCACCCAGCACCAGCGCTAACACGCCCATAGCGCGCCAACACGGCCAAAACGGGTGCTCTAGTGAATGTTTGTTCCAGAGCAGCTGACCAGGACCGACCGTAATTTCCACAAGCTCGAGGCGGGAAAGCTAGGACGACCCTGGGGATTGGGGGAATTAAAATGACGATTGCAGACTTTGGCCACAACAACCTGTGATAGCATGCAGTTCAGTCTGAAAAAAACACTCCGACACATTTCCGCTTACGAACAATGACAGCATACGCATCACCTTCCTTGCAGCTTGCAAGAAAGATCGAACGAGATCGAGACGCGAAAATGCGGTGGGGCCCTTTCCATGCCCATGTCCCTTTGGAGCTAAAAAGCCAGACCTTGTTCCCGATAACCGCCCCGTGCATTTTCTTTGCTCGGATCTGTGGCGTCACTCTCTGAGTCGAACAAGCGAAGACCCATGGGTTCGAGGCGGGAGCCACAGCCTCTACGTCACCCTGACTACTTGTGTTGTTTCATGGGGGATATTGGCAGCCGAGCCGGTATAATGTTGCCGGATAAGAAAAAGTACAAGGGCTAGATGCGGAGATTGTGATGACTTGAAATGAGTGGGTGTGCTGAATGGTAGGCTGGTTTGGCAGAGCGATTCAATATGGGCGTATCGAGAGAAATGTCAGGCTACCTGCTTTAGGCACGGCGTGTGTGATGGCAGGGTGATTGATTGGGTGGTATTAGCGATCGCTTCTGTTTCAGGGACTAAGAGTGACGTCGGCGCTCTTTTAAGGTTGTGGCGGCAGACCCACTATCACGCGTGCAAGCAGGGTACATTCCCATGTCTTGCGTCACGCCTCGTCCATATGGAAAACCTGCCTTTCCCACTGACGTTTTTGCGCGTCCTGTGCGTGTGTTGGTTTGCAGAACCCAGATCCAGAAACGGGTCCAAAGTCAGCTTGCAGGGCCATGATGGGCTTTGACGGAAAATTTGACTAGTGGGCGGTATGCCATCCACCCCAAAGGGGAGTGGGGCGGGCTGCGGCTGCTGCAGCTGCTGCAGGCTGGGTTGCGGTGTAGTATGTACGTACTATCGAGAAATGAGATGAGGAAAGCGAACAGCGAGCATCAGCAAGCACCCAGGCACGGACGCTTGTGACGTAGCGTTTGTGCAACCGCCTATCCTGGCTGCACACAATATAAGCCCTGTTCACCACCTTTGTTTGTTGCTTCTTCTCCATCTTATACCACACACCACTCACATATACCTATACAACAACAATCTTCTTCTCCTCCAACCCATTCCACCACACAAAAACAAACACCACTTATCCGTCTTCTAAAAAGAACATCGCAATCATGGGTGCCGTAGTATCCTGCATCAAGTCAGTCGTACGTCCGCTCTTCTACCCTCCACCTCAAGCTCCCCAAACTGACATTCCACTCTAGTTCCGCACCATCGGAAACTGCATCATGGCCATTGTCAACGCCATCGCCGCTGGTCTTAAGGCGATCATCAACGCCATCGTCTCGCTCTTCGGCATCATCATCAGCTGCCTGACATGCGGCCGTGGCGGCGGCGGCCGAAGGAGGACGACGCACACGAGTAGAGTCTAGTTCTGCGTCCCAGTACCTCTCTTCTGCTTGACTGACGCCGACTCTGCTTTCCACCCGTCAGCATGGCGCTTGAGAAGATACGGGTACTACTACTGAGGCTGCAACCTGAGCACGCAACCGCGACTGTGATGGCTGGGACTTGAACGGTCGGTACGTGTCATGGGGGTGGCCAAAGGTTACTTTTCCTTTGTTGTTTTTCGTTGTATCGAGAGAGCGGTTATACCCTTAGAGTGGAGGTTGATGGATGATGTGGTAATGGTCATGGCATGGAAGCGAGCGAACAACCTCTTTTTTTCTGATCGTCTGTATTACCTTTTTATTGTATGGTCTAGCTCGACAAGATGGATGCAAAGGGGGAGTGGCAAGTCGAGAACATGGTTTTCTTTCTTTTCTTGATCGCTCCACCTGCGCATAGATTGATACCCCCAGCTTTATATGAATGGACCTTACTTTAATTACTCTACAAGTTCACTTTGCACCTCTCGATTTGCTCGTCTTTAAAGTCATGATACTTGCAGTTCCTAGTCTACACGCTACAACTCTAGTCTGCACGCCTCCACCAACGCCGTCGCCACGTCTCTAGTCCCCCTACCCTCAGGCCAAACTAGACTAAATAATCACAAGCCACAAAAAACTAAACAGCCACATCTTTCCCCTGATAAACTCAACTGATAAAAAGCCTCATGAACCAACCAACAAATGACAACAGAGGAAATCACACCACCAAGCCTCACAGACACAAAAAGCACACTTAAGAGTAAAAAAAAATGGTGGGGGTATCAGAAGAAGATTCACCAGAATATTCAGACAACATAAAAAAAAACTAAAACTAATTGTACATCACAAACCCCCTATATATCCCTGTACGACCCATCAACCAGTTTCCTGCCCACACCCCCATACTGCTGCTGCTGCGACTGCTGCTGAGTCTCAGCTCCCGGGGTAAATGCTCGGTAAGAAGGCTGCGGTGGGGCTTGTTGCTGTGGTGGTGCTACCGTGTCCGCGGCCGGAGTGTAGGATCTTTGTCCCGGGTACGCTGATACCGGTGAGGTTGTTTGGTTGGGACGGCCGGGGGTGAGGGATGGTGGGGGACCCGAGGATTGTGGTGGTGGGGAGGGTAGGGGCTGCACAGGTGGTGGTGCTGGGTCGTAGGTGTGGTACGAGGGGGCTATGCTTGCGTTGTAGTTGTATGCGTTGGAGGGGGGTGCCTGGGATGAGTAGTTGTGTGTGGGCTCGTCGGGGTAGTCTCGTTGGTCGTAAGTGTCTTGGTGGTTGTTGTAGGGTGCTGACTGGTTGTATGACTGCGGTTGGTCGTAGGATGATTGTGGTTGATTGTATGATGTTTGGGGTTGGTTGTAGGATGTTGGTAGTTCGTGGTACGGTGCGTGCATGTCACTCTGTTGGCTCAGCTGGTCGTGGGAACCGTATGCTTGGGATGGTCCTGGTGAACGTCGACCGTATGGCTGTTGCTGCTGCTGGCCGTACCCTGCACCGGCTCCATACACTGGAGATCGACCGTGTCCAGGCGAGCCCTGGCGATATCCGCCTTGCTGGCCATATGGCTGACCATACTGTCCCTGGCTGCTGCTGTTGTTGTAAGACGGGGCATCGCTCACAAACGAATTGTTTTGTGGATATCCATAATCTGGCGAAACTGGGGACCTGCCCGGGCCAGGAGACCGTCTTGCTCCAGATACTGCTGTTGCCGCCACGCCTCCCATGGATCCACTTGTCACACTGCCATTGTGATCTAGCCTGTCCAACTCCATGTCTCCCTTCTTTTGTGCCACTGGCTGTTCCTCTACTTCTACGTGCACATCTCGTCCTTCCTTCCACGTCGGCATAGCTGGAAGGGAGTCTTCGTTTGCTGCAGGCTTGGATGAATCAAATGTGGCATATTGCGGCCTTTCTTGTTGGGGGGCAGGTGTAAATGTGGGCATAGGGTTGGACTGATATTGCTGCTGGTTTGCCAGTCGCGGGTTGAAGACCGGTGGAGGTGGCGCGGCAGCATGCGCCTGCGCATAAGGGTTCGCTTGAGGAGGAGGCGGGCCATACGATTGAGGAGGATATGGATGTCCAGAATCACTCTTGATGCGCTTGTGCGAGCTTCCTCGGCGGCGGCCGCCGCCACAGCAAGAAGCGCAGCATCTGAAGCAACAGCAGGCGCACTCAGCGCCGCAACATATGCATCGCGCAATGCAGGTAATCACTGAGAAGAGGATGAGACCGCCAATGATGATTCCGACAATAACTGGCCATCTGTTGTATGTGAGCAAAGGGGAATCGGGCAAGGAGAGCCACTTCTACGCACTTGCAGTAGGATTTGGCCATGCAGTTATCCCATGACGAAAAGGTGTTCCTCGCGTCGTCCAAGGGGTTCTGGCGCGCCAACAGCGAGGTCCCGAGTAACGACGGCATCGCGATGCCAGGGGCGTGACAGCAAAGTCACAGTTCACGCGAAGACAGAGGCGTCAGGAAGACGTGTTCCGACCAGCGGGTATAAAGTGAAAATTGAATTGCGATACGACGTTGATGATGAGACTAAGCTTATGACGATCGACGGCGGACAACAGGCCTCACATGACTCCCGGGTATATCGCAATCGGGAAGGGGGGCAAGCATGGGAGAGCCTGAGAAGAGAGAGGGAGAATTGTGTGTATTGTGTAGGCTGGTGTCCCTGAATGAAGGCCTGCTTAAGCCGAAACGTCGCAAAGGCCCGGTAGGGGCGGCGGCAGGTCAATCACCCTTGCGACGCGTTTCGGTGGCTGAGCTGCCGCTTATAGAGTTTGGGCCCGCTATGGGCCACTCGTTCTCCGCGCCATTTTCCTGCCGACTGTCAAAAGAATGGCGTATATCTATAGCGTCCAAGTAAAAAAGCACAAGGGTTGAGCTTGGCCTCCGTGGTGCACACACACATTAGCCGTTGCTGTCGCCAACAAGGTGACCAAGAGGTGGCGAGTCTTGGTGGGGAACGCGAAGGAGCATGATCAACCTCCACACACCCACGGCACCAGTATCGCCACCATCTGGCAAAGCAAATGGCGTCAAACGTCCAGAAGTCTTCCAGGTTCAAGCATATTAATAGAGGGTGGCATGCGATCCGACGGGCCGGAAATTCTATGCATTTATATCCTTCTCATGTGACGAACAGGTGTGTATGCATGCAATGATGATTGGTTTTATGGTGAAACTTGGACATCTCTTGGATATACCGGGCACAGAATATGTACATGCCTCCTCTAGCTAGGTCAGTAGTAGAGTGCATGTAACCTGTCTAAAGTCTTTTGCATCATAATCGACGGCTAGTCTACTACTATACAGCAACCATGCCATGGCTAGATAAGAATCAGGTTACTTTTAGTGCATGCCGTCCACATTGCACAAGAAACTTGGCCGAATACACTACACACTTGACCTGGACTTGAGTCTCACTGAATATGAACGTACCTAACTTCCAAGATCTGTGAATACTACAGAAGGTCGTTGTAATTGCAGGTATGCTGTGCAGGCTGATCCACAACTCCCAACGCAACAAGTGGGTACATAAGCATCCTCCATACACCGATAGCCTCAACAGATTAGAAGACATGAAGAGATCCAGCCTCGTCTCAAAGTCGAGTCTCAGAATAGCCCGGCCAGCGGCAGCACCCGATGCCGATATGACACGGAGGAAACACTCAATGCTCCTACATTCTAGTCTTCCAAGCCAGACCATAGTAGCCTTACCTTTCCTCGTCACACCTTAGACTCTAGGCTCTCATTCCACGAGCCCCCCAACTACCTACGTACATACTACTAGAAAACTATGCACTAAGCTACCCCGCACTAACCCAAAAGGATTCCTCCGTCCATCACCACTGCAACTGCAAGCTCCCCGCTCTCCTATCTCACCTTCACACCTACGTCACCGATCACGCACCCGCTACCTTGCCGCCTACATAACCCGCATCATTCCCTTTGCCCAACATGGCCTCTTCATCTGACTCGCAACAACAACAACCGCCAAACTTCAACGCGCTTCTGCAATACCTGCAGAGCCAAACCGAAACTACAGACAGCGAGACCGCAGCGCTAGCCACCGACGTCCAGAAGCTCGACGTGAGCGAGGAAACAACCGAGCAGGATAAAGTCAACGCCTACGTAGCCGAGTTCTTGTACATTGGCGGCCCAGAAGTCCTTCTAGGAAAGAAATCAAACAAGCAAAACTGAAAATGCCTGACCACCCTGTTGAAGAGTCTGCTCCTGGTAGTAAGTCTTTCCCCATCCTCTTTCTTTGCTTTCTTGTGCTATGGTGTGTGGCTTGGTAACTGTAACAATGAAACTAACAAAAACTTCACCCCAGGCATCACCGATAAGATCGCAAAGGAGTCTTCGGACTCGACGGCTTCGTCGCACGACATGCACGACACGGGCAATATGCAGCATGCTCAGGCTCACATGTCAAAGGTACGATAAATCATACTTGATAAGGACTTGGTAGAGCAAGCGATATGTTCCTGAGGCTAACAAAATATGTATGTATAGGGCCCAGTTATTGCCAAGGACCTGCCCGAGCCCGCGAGCAAGGAGGAGTTGAAGAAGAGGGCCGAAGAGCTGAACAAATAGATGCATCATGGCGTTCGAGTCTCTAGCAAAGTATACTATAAGGTTACATATGCAAGATGAATAATATATATATACATATCGTGCACTGTTTCTTCTTGCTCTCCATCAAGTGACTCTCTGTCGTATCATGGCATGTGCCCAACGCATCCCTCAAGCAAGCATGTCACGATTTCAGCAAGCAAAGCAAAGCAGCGCATAAGGTCATGGACAGAGACTGTTGGATTCCTCAATACCATCATATCGAACGACTACGGGACACAAAAAAGCGAGCCGCTTCAAACAGCCTGCTCGTCAAGAAGAAGAAAATCTGAGAGCGAGGGAGAAACACGGCTTAGAAACGAAGCCAGGCTTTAATCCAGCTTGACCCAAAAAAAAACTCCCCCATTTTTTTTATATAGATCCAAACAAACACCTTTTTTTCCTTGGTCTTTATCCCTTCCTAAGATGGAGAATAAACACCCCGTATATCCTATCGAATAAAGCCAAGAAAAAGACAAAAAGAATTTGCCCTCTTCTTCACTAGATATTTAGTGACGTCAACACACACTCGAACTCCAACCACAAAATCCACACATGGCACACAAAAAAGGCAAAAAAAAAATAAAGACCTCTTCCTTGGTTATCATGTGGATATACTGTAGTTAAGAATCCAAGTACGTACAATAAAAAAATGCCCATGAATATCTAGACAGAAGTGAATTTGAGAGACTGACAAGTAGACAAAGAGAGGTATCGTGCAGATTTGCCCACCAAAAAGAAACAGAGAATGAAAGAGACAAAGAAACTAGGACTACCAAGATGCTTCGTAATGTGGTTCAAAAAAAAGAGCAAAAAAGAAAAACAGGTACAGGTCGTTACAAATGCTGTCCCCAATCCTCCCACCTCTGCTGGTGTGGGAGGGGGACAAGGTGGAACAGAGATGGGTATATATGGCAGGCGAGATAGAGAGAGGGAATGTCTTTCAAAAGAAAAAAACAAACAAATCAGAGTAGTCGGCGCGGCGTTTTGCAATCATTGTCCCTGTCGAAAGAGTACGCAAGCAATGGCGGTGGTGATGAGGGTGCTGCTGCTGTGTATCTGTGGCTCAATGCTTTGTTGCATGCACGCATGGGGGTTTGTGTGTGTTAGGTGCCTGATGCTGTTGCTGCCGCTATCGCCGGGTGGGTCAACGTCAACGCTAAAGGCATTGAAGGCAAAGATATACGCCCAGCTAAAAGTCCTTGGCTTAGCTTCTCTGCTTTCAATGCCAAGATTGAGAATGGAGAATGTGACACGCCCGCAAGGAGACAGTAGGAAAGAAAGAGGCACTAACGCTCTCGAAACCATCGAGCTATTCTACCCTTTTCATTGGCTCCTTGGGCTTCGAGGTGGGCACTGCGTTCCCAAAGTTCCTAGTGCGATTTCTTAGCTGTCTGACACTACGCCAGTCTAGGGTGCGTTACTTACTTCGTCATCCTTGTTGATCTTGACGTCGAGGATCAGGGTTCGAATTTCTTCGCACTTTTGCCAGTTTGGATAAGGCGTGCCCTGGGCACGTTGCACGCCGACAATAACCTCGCCCATAATCTCAAACTTGCGCCAATTGATCCTCTCTTTGCCAACAACTCCCCCTGGTAATGGTTCTCGGCTGTCGCGCTTTCCTGCAGCTGCCTCGAAGACGCTGACACCAGGATGTGGCGCCAAGGCTGAGTCCGTCTTCTTCCTGTCGCCAATGAATGTTGAGTTACCTTCGGAGGCTGATACGAGATCGCGGCGAAGTAGCGGAATGTACGGAATCCGTTCTCCTGAACTATTGTCCCATGCCAGTCGATACGCGGCGTGCGATTTGGTGTGGCTCATCAAAATGTCTAATTTCCAAAAATCTTGAGTCGTGGCCTGTGGAACCAAGTCCTTGGTTGCATGCAGGCGAATAACAGCTGTGCCCTTGATGCCAGCCATGACAGCGCCTAGCATGTTGTAGTTGTTCAACTTGCGAAGCTGTCGCGCAATCTTCATCCACTTCTCCATCATGAGTGCCCTGTGCTTGGGCTTGTCGCGGAGGAGAATGTAGTTTGTGACGAGTAATGCAATGTAGTTGAAATGTTCGGTCATGCGCGTAACGTTTTCGAGGTTCTTGCATCGCTTCTTTTCGTCGTTATTGAGGCTGACATGGCGGACAAGATCTCGTGGTCGGACCGAGGAGAACATGATCCAATCTATGCGGGTCAGTTCTCTGGCAATGGCATCCTCTGGTTCGTTCATGAACTGGTGCCATTGAATCTTTGATAGGGGCTTGACAGGGTTGGGCTCGAGTTGTCGGGCAAGACGTTCATTCTTTTCGACCTGGGTGATGAGGGTCTGTGATGAGCCCATGGACTCGTTTGTAGATGGGGCGCCGCCAGTCAAACTACTTCGGGCAATGGAGTTTCGTGAGGAGTCGTCCATGGACATGTGGCCCAAGGCTCTCGAGAATTCGTCTTCGTCCGAGTCCTCGTCAAGCACGTTGTTGTGGAATGCGGGTATGTTTTCATTCTGCATCCGTTGACGATCGCTGCAGGCCCAGTCGGTGTCGTCGTCTTCGGTGACCATTTCCAGATCGCGAAGGATTTCGGTTGCGGCAACGGAGAATTCACGGTTCGAGGCCAACGAGGATGCAAATCGTCGAATCAAGCGGCGAGTAGTGGGGTAGGCAAAGTCACCAGGGTAATAAGCAACCCATTGGTGTAGTATGGTCAGGTAGCGGAGTTGAGCAATGATGCGGATCATCGGTAGGTCCTTTTCCTTGTTAAGAGCCTCGAAGCGTTTGATAATGGCCTCGAGGAGCTGGCCCGGTGTGGCAAACCTCCGGTACAGGGCGAGGAAGACGGAGACGAATTTGGTGTCATTCTTGGACATTGGCTGTGCCAGTAGTCGGTCGACGAGCTGCTCAAAGGTGTAGCCATTTTCGTCAGAGGGCTTCACCGACATGATGCTTTGGCCAGCATCCGAATCTTGATCATCGGAATCCTGCGAGTCGTAGCCGGGCGACTCGTCGGCGTTGAAAAAGGTTTTGTTGACGTCGCTGGGCTTATAACGGTGGCCTTTGATCTCGCTAGGCTTACGTTGAAACCTGAGGGAGATTTCCGAGCTAGCACGCTCGTGTTTGCGGCTCCAAAGGTCCTTTTGGGTCTTGGACTGTACTGCGGAAGAATTGGCCCGGCGCCGCGCCATTGAGGCCTGCGAGGAAGCTGAAGTACGTCAATGACTTGCATCCTTGTGCACAAGCACGACAATGCTGGCCATGGGGGACGCGCTCGACACGTCACGGGGGGCTTGTCAGGGAAGAAAAAAGGAAATGAATTACTTACGTCGCTTGGCCGCTATTGCTGCGCGGGTGATGACCGACAGGCATGCTCGGTGCGCCTCCGGCGACGATTCGGAGGTCTGAAACACGCTCACGTCTCCAATGAAGGACTTTGCTTTGTGCTCCACCACAGATGGATCGACCTCGCGGTGAGCGGGGTGTTGATCGCATTTGCATGCAACCAAGATGAACGGCAGTTGGGCCTTGTTAAACGTGTCTGCGAACATGGTTAGCACGATGCAGGAGCGGAGGCGCCTCGTGGGCCGGTCGGAACGGGCACTAACTGAGCATTTCAGGCACGTTAGCCAGGCTTTCCTGGTTTGTGACATCGTAGAGGATAACGGCGGCATGGATACGAGGCGTGGCACAGTCGTCGGTGCTGTCTGCCCACTTGATGTTCCCGCGCTCGCCCACTTGCACGTGGGTGAAGGTCATTTCGACCAAGCGGACTACATAGATGGTGCCATCAATGGTCATTCTGCGCGAGCAATTGCCTGGGGGTGCAGCTTCGGGCAAGCCGAGTGCGCGTCGGGCAAAGGTAGATTTGCCTGAACCCCGCACTCCAACAACGGCAATGTTGAGATCTTGCATGGTGGTGGCGGCTGAGTCGCTGTTGGTGGACTAGATGATCACAATGTCAGCCAGTTTAAAGTTTTTTGTGGCAGGTTTATTTTTTTGATGGTTTCCCATTTGTGTTGTTGGCAGGCTCAATCTCTGTCGTTCCTCGTCTTACTTTGCAGTCCTCCTCTTTTCTTTTTTCTTTGCGCCGTGGAAACGCTAGCACCATGACGACAATAACAACAACAATAACAACTAAGGAGAGAAAAAATCACGACTCACCCCCGTAGATGGCTCCGAGACGGAGTCGCCCGCTTGGCTACGATCCTTGACATGAGTGGGAGATAGTGGGCCTTCGGTGTCGGACGAGGACTCGGCGCTGCTACCGGCCTCTTCTTCCTGGGCTATGGGAACGGGCTGGGAGAAGTGGTATCGCTGGAAAAAGGCATCGTCGGCAATCTCCTCGCCTTCGTGGTCGTCGTCTGTGCGTGAGGAGTCGGTGCTAACGTCACTATCGCATTTGGGCACGTTGGGAGCCGAATAGGCGCGTGTCTTGATGCCCGGGCGCTGGGTCGAAGGTGCCATGGCACTACTCTCTCTGCGCGAGGAATGTATCGTGGAGGGCGGGGGGCGGGCAGCGCGTCCTCCTCCTGTGGCGGGCATGGTGGATATGGTGGGGACGCAGAAGCAGGGCGCTCAACTGGCACGGGTGGGCGCAGACAGTGGCCTGTACGACGTGGATGCGGGCGTGACGACAAGCCCCAGGCACAGTTGGGACATTGGAGGCGCGCGTGTGCCGAGCAGAAGACGGGGCGTGTGCTAGGGTGGGAGCAGGCTGGGGGGATAAGGGCCCAGGGGGCTATTAGGAGAGGGAGTATGTAGATGGATGGAAGGGCTGAGTGGATGTTGAGTGGTGCCCACGTGTTTGGGAGGGCGAGAGATGGGTGTGGGCGTGTGTGTGTGAGTGTGTGTGTGTATGTGCATTCGGCGGGGAGAGAGTCGCAGTCGCTTGGGCAAGAGGCAGGGTCTTGCTCGGCCATCCAATCCACTTGTGCGCGTACCGAGTGCTTAGCTTCCGCCCCAGATAGCCCATTCTCTCCACATTAGGCCGCCTATCCATGGCTTGGATGCATACGTTCTTGTATATCCATCCATCCATCCATTCATACATACATACATGCATGGTAGGACATGGACACGCTGCACGTATTTTCCCCCTCTGCTCACCACAGCACCCGTGGCACATGCTGATGCTATGATCAGCTAACCACACGTGTGAGTGCTGCCCCTTAGATGGCCGTCAACACGAGGATAGGACAGGATACAATACGGTCGGGCCTTGCGGGCCGCAACATGTCCCTGCCCCTGGGTGTAGTGTAAGTAGTAGCAAAGGCTGTGTGTCGAGGACAGGTGTGGGTGAGGGCCAATGATTGGCGCTGAGCGTCGCGTGTAGGCGCGTGGGATTGGCCGAAATGGGCTACTCCAACACCTCCAATAGGCTGATAATAAGCTTCGATGTGCTGCAAGCTTCACCTATGCTATGCGTTGCTGCATCACCCGAGTTCGAGTCGTCGGTTTGCATGACTTGTTCCCCGCCGACAGGGTCAAGGGCAAGGATAGCGACAAGGACGCTGATACATGAACAACGTACTTGGATACTAAGTATATATCCATGGTGGGGCAACGCTCTCCGGACCGAGGCTTTTAAGCTGACGCTCGACAAGACGCTGGGCATGTGTAAGCCGTGCACTATCCAAGAAGCGTCGTGTCGAGAGTCTTGGGCATGTTGGGTACTGCGGTCGGAGAAAAAAAAGACGTCTCGCGCGTGTGTGGGCGTGTGTGTGTGTGAGTGTGTGTGTGTGTGTGTGTGTATCGAGTGCTGTACTGATCTGCAGCCATATTTCCGAGCGATCGGCGGGCCTCCACCCCTCCATTATCGATGGATCTAGTAGCACGTGGAGTACTTAGACAGTACATACACATAAACTTAGTTACACAACAAACCATGTGCTATCTAGCCTCGGTCGGCCTTCATAACTATCGGGCCATGGTTACGGGCATACATGTAAGAAAGTACTATCCTTATACTGCTACGTACGCATGTTCGTAGACCGAGCAGACTAGCAAACTTACTAGTACGGACCGCAGCGGCCTGACTCGATGCCAACGTCTCCAGTAGTGGCCGTCTTGGTATTGCAATCTCCAAATCCTCGTAATCCGAAAACACTCGTCATCCACTGCCCTCCGAACCCAGGCCGACGCTCTTTGTCTCTTCCGCCTGTCCCGCGCAAGGTTGGCCTGGGCCTACCCATCCCAACTGCCTCCCTTCCCTCCCTCCGATCCAACCGGCGCCCTTGCCTCGGCCCTGTCACTTTCGGAACCTTTTGGCCTCTCCCCGACCCGCGTCATGCACTTGCACTGGCACTTGTCACCTCTGTGTCTGCGCCCTCATCATCTAGCTATCTTCACGTGCTTTTGCCCGAGCATCCAGACCTCTGTGCCCGCGCTGCTGATACCCACCGTTCCTGCCTGTCTGCCTCCCTTGCCCTTGCCCATCAACGCCTCACCTTCCACATCCACGATCCCTTCCTGACTCGCCGCCTTCCATCTACATCTACTCACATCCATGTAGATCCACCTCGACCCTTCCTCTTTCCTTTTTCACCTTACCCATCCTGCACCCCCCTTTGCTCACTCCGTCTACTCCTGGTCATCCGATGGGAGAGTACGTATGTGTCTATTCACATCGATCCAGTCCCTTTTCAACATTCATGCACATGCCGATAAAGTTTCTACATGACGGCATGCATATTTGCGTTGCAAGATGCTACAGATGTGCAGTATCACATACTACTAGCTCAACACTCTCCCATTCACCTTACCCCAGCATCTGCACCGATAGTCCAAGCTTAAATTAGATGCAGAGTTCCTGCCAAGCTACTCGTTATCACACTCGCGCATGCGAACTCTATTCCATTTCGCTCCCCGCCGTTAGCTGGATCAAGTAGCGAACACTGGGCTCCCACATTGGCAGGTGGGAGTGCAAAATGGTGCATTTTAACCAGCGGACTAACATGCTCATCCTACATTGCCTTTTTAGTCTAGTATCATTAGAAGCAGTACGACACTCAACTCTCTTCATTGAAAGTTGAGAAAATTACTCGTTACTACGGTTCTACTTGAACATGACACATCTCCGAGTAACTGTGTTCAAATATATGCCTCCTCATTCATTGACTTATTTGCGGCAAAACTAACAAGAATCTATAGTCAATGCTCAACCGTGCTGCACATTTACTAGCGACGATATATACGTCACGTGACCATACCCTGTTTCTTGGTCTCGATACTACATCCCGTGCCCTTTATCACTACCACCCCACTTTCCTCCCGCAACACTATATCCGTGCCTAGAGGAGACTTGATTCAATTCCATCCTTGAAAGATCATCCCTTTGTTCCCCCTGATCATGGCCATAGCAATGTCGCCGTTTCGGCCCTTACCACACTGCATCCCTGTCAATATGTTCGAGTCTGCAACATCACTCAATCTACACGCCCATTCCTCCTCGAGAAAAACAGCAAAGAAATACACAAACAAACAATCTTCGATACCGGAAACAGAATCAGACCACTCGAGAAACAGGAAGGAGCCATCGTCACATGTGTCATTATATCAATATTTCTCTCTTCTTTCCACAAATGCTACACAATAGCCCTAGAAAGACAAAAATGATTTCCCTAGTAATAAACTCCTCAAACGCTCAGATCAAAGTGCAAGTTTCTTTATATTCCACTCTTCTCCTCGTCTTCATATATAGGCAGCAATCGCCCCTCTCGTATATACCTCTCCCAGGTGTGTAAGGGGCCATGAACCCGCACAATCGTCGAATAAAAATTTTCCCAGTTCGATTTGGAAAAAAGGATATGGCTCAAAAAAATTCAAAATGCTGATTGAATGCCGACTGTAGATTTTTCGAAATTCAAGCACTATTCACTGTTAAGTTCAGTTACTATTGCAGGCCAGAACACTGGCATGTTTGGAAAGGAGAATGAAAAAAAGAGTAACAAATGTGGTAAATAAGAGACAAGGGGAAGAGAGAGAGCCGCAAAATATCATTGCTCCAAGACGGACTGCAACGATGAAGAAAGAGAAAAAGAGAGAGGCAATAGACGATTCTTGACACAACTCCGCAAGCGGGGAAACAAAAAAGAGGCAATTATGTTATTGGCTGTTGAAAGAGGCCAATTAGCATCTTGTCTTGCCCAAATACTTTTTGTACGAGCGTTTGTGCGTGGTGAGAAAGATGCTTCCCATCGCTTTCTCTCTCTTCTTCGTCTTCTTCTTTTTTGTGCTCTCTCGTGCAAGTCCGTATACATGGCATGTATTGGCTCTCCATGTAAGCGAACAAAAAAAGAGGACGAACGAGAAGCGAAAAGCGAAAAGCATAGGACTGAGAGGGGGGAGCACAAAAAAAGGTGTGTATGACAAGAAAAGGGTATAAAGAAAAAGGTATAAGGAAGAAAAGAACGAGGGAAACTTACTACAAACTCAAGGTCAAATCTCCCCGAATACTCGCCTTGAGCTCAATCTCAATCTCCAGGTTCGCCTCAAGTGTCAACTTTAGTCCATCCTGATCTTTCAGCTCGCTGCCGCGCTTCTCCGGCTCCATACGAAACGGCTCGTTGGGATTCGTGCCACGCATGGGAATCTCGCCACGCATGGCACGCGCATACGTGACAGGCCCATCCATGGACGTGCTGTCCGGACCAATACGCTCAAACATGCCCATCTTCTGCAAGTCGCCGTTTGCATCTGCCTCCTCGAGCACCTCGAGCGGCGTCGTGTGCATGTACTTTCCGTTCTTCTTGTCTTCCTCGAGGCGGGTGCGGCGGGCACGGCGCGACGAGGAGCGCGAGCGGGCGGATTGGAGTCCGGCTTCGCGCCGCTCTTGCTTCTTTTTATTGATGGCTTTTTGCTGCGCCATGGTGGAGCGCTCGTGCGGCTCCGAGTCCGAGTGATCATTCTGGTTCTTGTCGGCCATGTCGGGCGGGAGGCGCGCGATCATGCAATGGTAGGTTGGGGGTTTAGGTGTGGTTGTGTATATATGGACCGTCAAAGGAAACCAAGAGATCGATTCTTAGGGGAGGGGAGGAGAATCGGCAGAGGTGGGTGGGGAAGTTAGAGAATTAGAAATTCAAAGTCAAGACAAAAAGGTTCCAAGGTAGTAGAGTAGAAGGAGAGAGTATGAGCAGAGCAGAGCATACAACAACCGGCCCAGCCAGCAGGCCAGCCAGCCAGCCTAAAACCCACCTCGCCCATGCACATGCATCTGCGCAATCCACAACCAACAGCATGGCCCTGCCCTGGCACCACCCCTTCGACAGCAAGCTTGCTTTTCGCACTACCCACAACCCCCCGACCACCTAAAAAACAAGATTCATTCGATTACCCGCCCGCAAACCAGCAAGCTTGCACCCTTGCTCTTCTGCTTCCCCACAACCCAACAACGGCTGACGTCAATGTAAGGATCGGGATCAAGTGGCGCGTCGTATCCACAATCATGACACCAAAACCCTCTTTTTTCTGGGTAATTCAGCTTCCCGCATCATTCGGGAATAATGCCGCCTTATGCGGAAATCCCCGATAATGGCTACGTGTTGTCTTTCACCTTGCGCTTGTGAATCTTTTACTTTGTTTGTTTTTTGTGTGTGTGTCTTGTCGGTTCATGTGGTATCCTACCCGTCTGACGACGCGCAAACGTACATACGGGCTAGTGCTAGGGCTTCGGTCGCTCTCTCTCTCTCTCTCTCTTTTCTGTTGTAGATCTAGAACGGTAGAACCCATGCTTTCCTCCTTGCCCTTGCAAAACATGCATGCACATGGACTTTCTGGGGAGCGGGTTTTTTGCCTTTCGGAGCAGAGATGATGCAATAATGTTCATCATTTTCGCCATTTCCGCGCGTACTTGTTTTGCTTTTTTGGAGACAGCGTCTTGGTATGGGTTACAGCTATGACGTCACGGCGCAGTAAAGTGTACATTCCTTCCTTGTCGCTGTCTCACGATTACAAGTGTAGCGAGAGACATGGCAAGAGGCATCACGCGAGACTTGTGACTTGACGTGGAGAAAATAACATTGTAATAGCTCTGTCTGTCTGTCTCTGCCTAACTACGCGGACACTAACAACTTTGGTATACCGCTGCAAACAAAATCTCCGGTTAAATAAGCTAGCCAAATACGTGTGGATATACATGTAATTTGCAATTCCTATGTAGGCCACTACTCGCATACACTTTGCAAGTAGGTTAACAAAGGGGGGGCACTTTGTATGCAAAACTCCCAGTTCATAAACGCCTTCAAAATGGTTCCAATTACTAACAGGTCAATAACATGCCGTGCATTAAATCTTTGTCGTCGTGCCCACGATCTTTTAGTTACTATGACTCGTCGTTAGTATGAGATAATCTAACCAAAAAAAAACACAATATCACTTACAGCAATCCAAGGGTAAGATCACCGTGAATCTTAGCCTTGAGCTGAATCTCAATGTCAAGATTGAGTTCCAATCGCAACCTGAGCTGCTCGCCGCCGTCTTTGCCGCCGTCATCTTCTTTGCCGCCGCCAGTCAGGCCACCAAGAGCCTTGCCGGCTGTGTCGCCGACGGAGCCAACGGCTTTTCCAGCAGTGTTTTGGACCATGTCGCCAGCTCCGCCGACGAGCTCGCCTCCTGGCACGTTCTCGGTAATGTCGTCCAATGGGCCACCTCCCTTTCCGCCCTTCTTCTGGCGCTGGCGGTTGCGACGGCCTCCGGATTGCGAGACGTCTGATCGAGCATCAGACTCGGCGCCAGATTCCGCGCCTCGTCGTCCGCGGCCTCGGGACTGGCGGCGCCTCGATTGCGACTTTGACTTTTCCTGCTGAGGTTCGTCCGAGTCGTCGTCGGCGTCGCCGCCGTTGGTTTGCTTCTTTGATTCTGCGTCCTCTTGCTCAGCGTTCCCTTCGCCATCGCTATCAGGGGCAGGAGTGGCGTCAGGAGTGGGCTGCTGTTGAGGCTTCTTTCCGCCCAGCTTCTTCGGCGTCTTCCTTTCGGTTTTCTTACTCGATGATTCCGCATTGCCCTTTGCTCCTACAGAAGCATTGGCATCAGCCTGTCCCTCTCCAGAAATGGATTGCTTGCTCTCCTCGACTGTGTCCGCCATGGCGTGGTACTTTGGTTTTCAGAAAAGGTGTAGTTGGGGCCTTAGTAGGGATTTGCTGGTTGTATGTTATGTATTTGCGCAACAAAAATAAAAGTGACGCGCTGAACAAAACTCTTGGGAAAATAGCAATTCACGACCCAGGACCACGGAGCAATTCGTTAATAAGAGAAAGGCGGCATGAGCAACTGGAACCGGTTTGAAGGCTCCCAGGTACTTGCTACCCCTGCCGCACCTGGCCCACCTTTGCATGCAGTCTGACGCACCATGTGGCGCCTACACTCACCCCACTGCCAGGCGAGTTCCAACACGTCCAAAAACTTGACGCCATCCCTGCGTGCATCGTCCTAGCTGACAGCTGCGCACACGTTGCGACCATCGTCTTGGGGCCTAGAATGTCTTGACCGGGGTGTCCTGTCCATCGCGTATGTTCCAACTTTTTCCCCGCCAACTGTGCCGCATACTCCTTGGACCTGATGTCAATGGCAACGCGTCAGTCGAATCCGATCGGCAGCCTTTCTCATCGGCTGACCGGATGCGGATTTTGCCGTTCCGCGTAGCATAAGCGGCAAACGTTACACAGAACATACACCACCATGTTCCCATTCTGAAGAAAACAAAACAGTAGACCGCAATATGCGGCACACTTTGGGAGCTCGCTAGACGGCGGTTTTGTGGTAGCGAGAACGTTGTCTGGTTCGTCGCTACCAATCGCGGGGCGCGGCACGACCTTTCCGTGCGATGACCGGGCCGAAGAGCACCGGGTCACTGCAGTCCAGAGATGGGCAATCTACGATCACATCTCCGCCCGCTGAACACCCACGATAGAGCAATTGCAACTCTAGCCCATAGCCCGGCCGCTAATTCGCCCATAATGGCGACCAAGGAAGCTACGGATGAAGCCACCAGGCAGCGCATCGTCAAACACATGAATACCGAGCACCACGACTCTGTACGTGCCGTCTATAGGTCTCTTGTCGAGTGCCCTCCAGTTCCTGATTACGACCGCAGATCCGCCGATACGTCGAAGCTTATGCTTCACGATCCATGTTCCAGAGCCGCAGCGCGAAAATGATCGATATCGACTTGGACAAGATGGTGTTCAGCTGCGGTGGCCAACAAGCTGTTATTGGGTTGGATCCGCCCATGACGACCCTGCGTGAGTCTCGCGAGCGTATGGCCAAAATGGACAAGGACGCTTTGGAGACTTTGGGCCGGAGCGACATCTCCATTACACGGTTTGTCCCTGCATATACGCGGCCGGCTCATCTATGGAACTTTACGCAGTGTCTGTTGGCCTTTCTTTTGTTGCCTCGTGCGGCGAACTGGCAACCTGGCTCGCCCATTTACGATTACGCTCTGTTTATGGTGCCGTCGTTCGCGAACTTTGTAGCTCAGTACGGCTGGCTGATATTTATGATCATGCTTCCGATTCATTTAATCGAAGGTGTTATCATGGTGATGAGACTGGCAAAACATGGATGTACCTTTTTGGATGGCGTTTGGTGGAAATGGGTGGGCACCTGCTTTGTGGAGGGAATCACTTCGTTCTGGCGGCTGGACGCATTAATTGAAGAGAGGAAAAAGGAGAAGGAAGCAAAACGGCATTGATCATAGAGCGGCACTGGCCTCATGTTCGAGCAATATTTGTGGTGTTCACACAGCCAATGCTATCTAGTTTAAGATGTTCTTCTCGAATACATAACCTAACGTGTCAATTGCGGAACCCTTCGTACTAGGGTTATGCCTCGAGCTCATGTATACAAACATGCTACATCATACCCATTTAGGGCCGAGGCGTAGATGCGGCCGAGGGCTGCAATGAGGCACTCGAGCTCACATTGTCGGCATCTTCCTCATTCTGTTTCTGCACAATGCACACCTGGCCCTTTGTACTTTTCCAATGCCGATTCAACATATCACCACGCTTGAAAACACGTCCACATCCCCAATCAGACCCGTCCCTGAGCTTACCCCCACACACAAATGATTTTGCATCGTCATGGCTGGTTGTCACGTGTCGAGTGCGATCGCCCTTCCTTGCAAAGCTCTTGCTACACATTGGGCAAACATAGGCCACTGGCTTGCTCCCGCTCTCCGCATGGCGACTCCGCATATGAATCTGAAGGTTTTGCTTACGAGTAAACTTGGCATCGCACTCTTTGCAGTCAAAAGACACTTTCTGTTGAGGCAGTTCAGGATAATCTGCTTCTTCTTCTTCGTCATCATGATCAAACGTCCCATGGTATTCCGTGTCGTGCTTGTAGAGCTCCTTCAATGTGTTGCAACCTAGCGCGGCCATTGGGCAGCCCGGAAAAGAGCAGAAAAAGGATCGTTCGTGCTTCTTTATGTGGTCGTTCCGCTCTTGCTCTGACGCGAAGCCGCTGTAAAATCGGATGCAGTTGACTCTCGGACATTTGAAAATTTTCTCGCCGTACATTGACTGTAACTTCACGGTCCTAGTTGCTGAAGCGCTTTCCAGCTCTAGGTGCTTGCGCACTTTATTCAATGCATGGTGGAGCTTGAGCACTTGAAGATCCGGAGAGTGAGCGGTTGAAGCAATGAGCTGCTTATGTGCGAGATGAGCAGCAACAGTGAGTTTGTCAAAATTGCGATTGCTCGAAAGCGCCTCCCATCGTGCTAAGAATGATTTCGGGGGTATCGACTTGGTCCGGGGCTGCGCCCAGTACATGTCGATGAAAACTTCCGCCGCTTCGGATATCTCGTCTAGGGCGTCTTTCGGTTCCTGCACACGCAAGAATGCATCCAGGTGGCGAGCCCAGTATGCGTATGCATAGTCCATGAATCCATAATATCCCGATGGGATGTAATCAGGCACGCTGAGATTATCATCCTCAACATTAAACCCTTCGAAACAAAGGTACCGTATGCATAGAAGACCCAGATTGCCCTCGCCCGATCCAAGGTTGACGAGGTTTTTGTCAAGTAGATATCTGCGAAATTTAGTATATTCGAAACGAAGAGAGAAATTTGTTCGCTGGAGGCGATCCATATACACGGGTTTGACAAAAGGACTTACTTTTTGGCTGAATGATGGACAATGACAACCGTGCCGTCAGCATGTATGTTGACCAACGACCCACACAAGTCTTTTGAATCCACGCGTAGTCGGTCGCGCTCCCAATCTACAGTCTGCTCTTCCAAATTGATTGAGACTGCACATTGAATCTCTCGCCACATAAGAGGTCGCTTCGCACATACAAGCCATGTCAACAACTGACCAGTTTTTGCGCTCAAAGATCCTCGGTTGGCGGTTAGCCGTTGTATGATGCGGGAGTATCTGTTCATGTCAGTCGTATTCTATACATCGTTCCACACTATGTATACATTTTTTCAAGTCTAGTACCGCCTTGGGGAAAGTTCTCCGGTAAGAGCTCCTTGTCGAGCTCTGCTCGTGAGCTTTGGTCGATAAGGTAAGAAGTCGCAAGATGTGCGAACAGAAACATACCTGTATTAATTAGAAAAATGGTGTTAAATGTATGAGGGGGGGTTGCACCCACCGTCAGCGTTTTTCATTACCTGATCCTGCACCCATTGTTGTCGGTCTGCAGTTAGGTCAAACTTCACTTTTATGGTCATACTTCTCCCCGCTACAAATTCAACAATGTCTTCTCTTGTATGATTCTCCGTAATCTTTAACGAAGACATACTAGCGAAGTGTTTCCTCGCAATATTGTCGTCTTGACTGACAAACATACACCGCAACGAATCCATATCGGCAGGGGGCAGTGAATCCCATGTATCCTGGAAGAATGACACAATTTGTTGGCGTTGGTCACCCTCACACTCATCGATTCCGTCTACAACAATATATAACTTCTCGAAAGCCTTCAGTGATGTTTCAAGCAGTTCTCGTGCCGTCGCCTCAAGCGAAAGCGTGACCTGCCCACTTGTAGATGCTTTTTCATAGAGATAAGACAACAGAGCATCATCATGAGATAGCAGTTGAGATAAGATACCGCGCGCAACCGCAAGAAATGTATCACGTTCACTATCCAGATAACGACAGTAGAAGAACGCAACGTGGACATCTGGTAGCTTCATAGCTTCCTCGACAACTAAAGAGGCTAGAACAGTTTTTCCTATCTTTGTGATGAGCAAAAGTTCCGGCGAGTTTCAGTACGAGCTTACCTGCTCCAGGAATGCCATTCATCCATAGCATATGTGTTGAGCAGAGGATTGGGTCGAACCAGGAACAAAAACGGTTCTCTCGTAGAAGCCATTTCCCCGTTCCTGGATGCTCTCGGCGCACCTTGGTACAAGCCTCTTGATCAGCACTACAGTTGGCTGCAGCGAGCCATTGGTGAACAACCATGCGACGCTTGCGCACTTCATTCGCTCTCTCATCATCGAATTGTAGTTCAATACGTCTCCTCGTTTCAAGTATCTCGGAGAACTGAGACACTGTTGCCTGTGATTCGATCAACGCCATGTGTTCGCGTAAATCCCGGAGTATTGCGGCGAACTGGGTGTTGAAACTTTTCCATAACGCTTGAAACAACTGTTGCCACACTGTCCTCTATCAATACCATGTCCATCCTGACAACCAAAAACTCTTGAGATACATACTACGCTTTTGAAAATACTTCATTGCTTTGAGATGAAATTTAAGTATGTCCTCGTACATCAATTGTAGCACTCGAGTCATATGCGGATGGTTGCGGAAATAATCTTCGTACTGGGCTAGTAAAGGCATATGCTCGCCAATTCGTTGATATGCATCCAGCAAGGCGTCAAAGGCCTCATGAAATGTACTGGCTATCTTCATGAAAGTCAACTCTTGGCTCTGCCGGTCTCAACTAATGCCTGTTTTGTGTACTATAACCTGAAGGCACCCTAGCCATACTGTAGAACACTAATCTTCAGGCGGCGTGGATCAAAGTGTCAAAGAAGAGGATTTATACCTGTAACAGAAATTTCATTGGGCCCTGAATGCTTTGAGTTCAGCATGACTAGTGTACAGTTATGGTCGGCGAGTCGTACCCAAACGAACGCCAGAATTGCACTTGTGTTGAGAAATACTGACACGACTTTTTCGTACTCTTTCATACCCTCCAAGAATAGCTCTAGCCTACTCATGGCGCGCAGCCTTTTGTCGGATTGCTGCTTGCGTTGAATCTTCTCTATAGCAACATGGACGTCATTGAGCGTGGTTGTTGCGAATTGTTGCTTCTCTTTCTCACTCAAGCCTGACTTGAACTTTTCCAGTACAAGATGAAAAGTCGTAGAGTGCATAGCCATCGCTTATCTCGTGTATGGATGTCGATCTTGTCGTCTTCAAGGAGAGTGGAAATCAAAGTGTTGTGGTGGAGGGAGAGATGGAAGAGGAAGGGGCAGGCTGGACATGACGGCCGGTCTGTGCGCATCCCACTTTCGCCCCAAGGCAGACACTGTGGGCGCCATTGGCGCCCACAGTGTCTGCCTTGTGTAGCCTGATCCATTATCAATGCATATTGGCCGATGGCCTGAAGTGTTGGACAGGGGCGGTCAGACATGAAAAGGATGTCAACCTCAGCGCGTCCCTGGAAATCATCGACACTGAAGCGTAGGTCCAAACTGCGGACGTGACCAAAGACGTCTCTAGCACATTGGCCAAAAGACGATGAAAAGACCACTATCTCCAACTGGCATCGCAGAAGCATCCAAGCGGCGAGAAGAGGCCCCTTACATTACATTATGTAAGTAGGTGCAATCGTTCAAGATACCTAGTACTAATAACTGCTGAAGATAATCAGCTCCCCGGAGTAGAGCCTAATTCTAGGAGAGCCGGTAGTAGCCCCGATGAGGAAAGATTGCGCAATGTTCTGCAAGTCTCAGAAAAAAGCTCGCTACATCAGCCTGAAATGCTGAGCAACGTGGAAACGATTTGTTACGGCGCGGTAACGACTATGGCCAAAACTGATTACTATAGTACAACCCACTGATATTCTTAGCTACTTGAACTGAATCTTCAAGTCAGAGAAGATCCGTTTACATATAGAGAGTACTTATCTCAGGATACGAGAAGCGATTTTGTCGAACTTGAAACTACGTTTGCCAGTAGCTACCTCTGGATGAACCTCCATGACGCCATCAGCTTCGGATGCTTGAATCAGAAGATTTCGCAAGCCCTGAAACGGCTGAAAGCTCTTTCAAACGTCGAGGTCGAAGGTGTTGTGTCACGAGCCAGTCTAGGGAAGGTTAGAGCCGAATGGAAAAAATCAGGACGCTCTGCAAACCTACTTGTAGACGTCAACGTTTACGGTCCCAACACTCCTGGAGTTGCTAAAACCGCTGGTAGAATCCTCAGCAATGCGAGACTCTTCCTACAACCCCCAAGCTTCGTTACACGGCTGGTCACATATGACAATCCTCAATATCTTAAATTGCCCAATGTTTCAGAGTTGCAGATCATGGAAGCACCAAGCACGAACTTTGCGGCCCCGCTTTCAGGCAACGCGAAAGAAAGCACATACTCCGAGCTGGAATCCGTATTGGATAACATTCCAAAGTCGAAGGTTTTGAGAGAAGTGTCTACAAGTTGGCGAATACGGACAGTGCTCAAAAAGTAAGTTCTTATCATCACTAAGGAAGGCCATCAAGTAATCTTGGGAAGTTATCAGCGAGAAGCTGTTGATTTTCTGAACAGAAGAGAAACTGGGGACTTGTCTCTTTCACTCAGTCTTTGGAAACTTGACTCTCTTCCCGGTGGTTCATTCTGGTATGTCCGTATGCCAAGGTCATGAATATTTAACTGACACTTCAGTTACAAACACGTCATCACTGGTGCAAAAAGTAGCGAGATGGAGGACGCCCGGGGAGGCATATTTGCTGATGAGATGGGCCTAGGAAAGACACTAACGATATTGACTGTCATCGTAGAGTCTCTGCAACGAGCGCTTAACTACGCTGTAGGGCTCACAAGAGGCTCAACAAACTCTTGGACAGAGACCGTCCCTTGCAAAACTACCCTCATAATTGTCCCCTCTTCGTGTAAGTGACTCACAAACACCACATCCATTCTGATCTGATCTGGCTAGTGTTATTAGAGAGCTGGGAAGAAGAGATTGCCAAGTAAGTCTAGAATTATACCGCAGTGAGTCGTCTAACATTTATTAGACATATTGAACCTGGAACGCTCATAGTTCATCGCTTCCATGGCTTAGGAAAACGTCTGGATCTTGCTCATCTACTTCGCACTGATATAGTTCTCACAACATACGCGACTGTTGCTGCAGACTTTTGTCGTGGAAACAGTACACTGAACCGCATTTCGTGGTACCGCCTAGTTTTGGACGAGGGTAACCCCGCCTTATCATTTCGCAGCTTATAGAAGATGCTCACTTACTTATCTAGCTCACTACATCCGCAACCCTTTACGGAAACAATTTCGCGCCATCCAAACCATACCTGCACACATCCGCTGGTGTTTGACAGGTACCCCGATTCAGAACTCTTTAAACGACCTTGGTGCGCTCTTAAAGTTTTTACGAATCCCGATGCTTGATGACCTGGCATCGTTTCGCAAGCATATCAGCACACCAATCCTGTCAAAGAACAACAATCGTTTTGGTAACCTTAGCAGACTTCTAGAAGCCATATGTTTGCGTCGTACTAGATTGATCCTAAAGCAGCCTGAACCAGCCGAAGAAATGAAACTCCTTCAGTTTTCCGCTGAAGAGCTGACGCAGTATCGAGATTATACCGCGGTCTGTAGACACTCCATCGACTTGGCTGTTGCAGGACATAGCTTCAAGAAAGCTAATCAGCAAGTTATCCAGGCTATTTTAGGTCTAAGGCTGTTCTGTAACGATGGAGAAAAGTCTCTTGCCAAAAGAAGTTCATCATATGGCCTCCCAACCTTACCGGAAGAAGTTCTGAGTTCCTTGCAGACTTCCGCGGATGCTGTATGCATCCAGTGTGGCTGCGAAATTACGGCAATGTATCAACGCGACGACAAAAGCTCAGGTGTACTGACTGTTTGTCATCATCTCATATGTGGTGAATGTCTTACAGATTTTGAAGCGGATCTTGACGAAAACTCGGAAGATGGACGTAGCTGCTGCCCGTTCTGCGGTTTCAGAGCAGAGAGGTCGTCATTTGTTGTTGTACCTTCCTCGGACACGGAAAACCCTACAGATGTACGGACTATAGTGTGGCCTACAAAGTTGCGCGCAATTCTTGACAGCGTTCAGCAACAAGGCTCAAGTGATAAGTGGTACGTCTTTGCAGCCATCGCCAATGGCGCATTGCATTCTATCAGCGCAAACTCACACAATACTTAGCATCGTATTCTCTGCCTGGAAGACAACCCTCGACATCATGGCTAGCATATTCGACGTTGCCCTAGTCCCGTATTTTCGTATACATGGTAGCATACCAGCTAGTAGGAGGAGTAAAGTTCTTGACAATTTTGAGCAGTCTACAACCACTCGAGTCTTGTTGATAACACTAGGAACTGGAGCAGTCGGGTATGCCTTGGTCGTTGCTATGCCTATATTTGACTAACACTGATCCAGCTTGAACAAGATGAAGGCTGCCAATATCATACATATCATTGAGCCCCAGTGGAACCCTTCAGTCGAGAATCAGGCGATTGGGCGCATTATACGACTTGGACAGGAAAAAGCTGTCAAGATTTTCCGATACATCATGAAAGGAAGTGTTGAAGAGGTATTGTATAACCAGGGATCTTGTAGACGATAGCAGCTGACATTTATTAGGCTGTCCAATCTCGCCAACTGCGCAAACTCCAACTTGCGCACGGAGGATTTGGTCTTTCCAAAGACGACCATAGCGAAAAGAGAATCGGTGAGATCATGGTACGTCATGAAGCTCTTTTCTCAACAAAGTACTAATGCATATCCTAGAGCTTGATCTGCCCTTCGATCTCGCAAGACAAGCACGTCGGCCTCGCATCCTCCGCATCCTCCGCTCTCGAAGTTTAATTCAAAGTTTCTCGGGCTGATTAGAATTTCAAGGCGGGAAGAAACTTTTCCCAACTATGGTAGCCACATAGAGCACTCGCAATAGAAGACCCGGTATGAGTGTCAAAATTATCCAGTTGACTCCACGTATGTTGAACTAGATTAAAATGGAACTAGCGCTAAAAGGCCTTACCATCTCAGTGTTCTTGTGCCTGCATCGCCGCAATTTTCCAGGCATCTACTAGCTAAAAACCAGTTAGGCTCATACCTCTGGCTAAGCGAGCCAATTGTAATCCAATCCACTGATACGGAATCGCACATAGCACCTTGCCCTTCACAATGATGTCTTATGATTGGCTCAATTTAGCCGCTGGGATACTGCATGTGGTCAGTGCGTGCAGCATTTCAGCCAATGCAACACTATCTGCCCCATCAAAATATCTACCCATCATTTTCAACACGTGATATCTCCACCACCATGACAGCCATCGAGAAAGCGATTGCGGCAATTAATTCGTAAGATGTAGAAGGTTAACTCTTATAACGTGACGGATAAGCGAGTCGGTCAGGCAAGCGAGTCGGTCACCCCACCAACTTCGATCACCCACCACACCTTTGCGTACAATGCCTCCAAGCCACGCTTCTCAGTCAATCTCTCATGAGGCAGATATTCAGCTTGCTCTCTCTTCTTTAGATAGAAACCAAATCCAGAGTACCCGACGCGCTGCTATAGCCTTTAATATTCCAAAATCAACACTAATTGACCGACGCGCTGGGAAGCGCGCGCGACGCGATTGCCAGCCCAACTCAAAGAAGCTAACTAAGCTAGAAGAGGAGGTAATAGTTGATTATATACTTAATCTTGATTCACGTGGATTTGCGCCTACGTACGCTGCTGTACGCGATATGGCTGATAAGCTGCTAGCTGCGCGCGGCGCTGGCCAGGTTGGGCAAAAGTAGCCAGCTAACTTTGTTAAGCGTACAGACAGTCTTACGACGCGTTTCAATCGGGCGTACGATAGGCAGAGAGCTCTATGTGAAGATCTAGTCTTAATTAAGAGCTGGTTTGAGCTTATGGAGCAGACAAAGGCCAAGTACGGTATTTGTGACGAGGACGTCTACAACTTTGACGAAGCTGGATTTTCAATGGGCAGGATTACTACTCAGCTTGTCGTTACAGCTTCAGAGAGACGAGGCCGGCCAAAGGCTGTCCAGCCAGGTGGCCGAGAGTGGGTAACGTTTATCGCTGGGATCAATGCAGCTGGCTGGTCTATCCCACCATTCCTCATCTTTACTAGCAAGTATCATCTATCTGCCTGGTACGAGGAGGCAGAGATCCCACGCGACTGGGCGATCGCAGTCAGTGACAACGGCTGGACCACTAACGAGCTAGGAGTTGAGTAGCTAAAGCACTTTGTTAAGCATACAGATAGCAAGGTCGTTGGGGCACGCCGGCTGCTTATTCTTGACGGCCATGAGAGCCACCAGTCTCTTAAGTTCCAAGAGCTCTGTAAGGAGAACAATATATATACGCTCTGTATGCCGCCCCACTCCTCTCACCTACTCCAGCCTCTTGACGTTGGCTGTTTCTCACCGTTAAAGCGCGCGTACAGCCGTAAGGTGGAGAGCCTGATACGCAACCATATCAACCACATCACTAAGCTAGAGTTTCTGCCAGCGTTCAAGGCAGCCTTTGATCGATCCTTTACAGCAGCCAATATCTGCTCAGCTTTTCGAGGCGCAGGCCTTGTCCCTCTCCAGCCAGACGCTGTTCTGTCAAAGCTTGACGTGCAGCTGCGTACGCCTACTCCTCCAGCTATTCTAGCAGAGGCTCTCTAGCAGGCTCGTACGCCTAGCAACGCACGCGAGCTTAAAGCTTAATCAACATTAATACGTGATCGCGTTTAGCGGCATTAAGACTCGTCGCCAGCTTCAATTATTGCGGCAATTAACCAGCTTAAGAAGGGGGCAGAAGTAATGATACTCTCGGCTGAGTTAATGCGCGATCGGATTGCTACTCTTGAGAGAGCTAATACAGTAGTATCAGAGCGTAGGCGGCGTAAGAAGAAGCGGATACAGAAGCGTGGAGTCCTTACAAAGGGAGCTGGAGAGGATATACTCGCTCAACGTGAGGCTGATGAGCAGATTACTCGTGAGGAGCGTCAGGGAGGAGAGCGATCAGGTGTCAGCCGCCAGGCTCTAGCGCGCTGTAGTAGGTGCAGAGAGACTGGCCATAACTCACGTACATGCAAGAAAGATACTCTAGATAGTAATTAATCTATTGCGTTAATATCTATCAAAACTAATATAATGTGGTAGAGCTATACGCTTGTAGAGGTGCGCAAAGTTAGTGAGGTGACCGACTCGCTTGCCTGACCGACTCGCTTATCCGTCACGTTATCGCGCAGTTGTAAAAAAGTTTGGTGTTACAGTTATAATATTAACGCGCCGGCACTAAAATAAAACCTAGTTGCGAATAGTAGCTGCAAAAAAACGTTAATTACTTACTCTACTATAAGAATCTGAGCTAGTAAAATATATAGAAAATCTATTAAAATGCGGGCTACTACCTTCTTAATCTATAGTTAAAAATTATGTAGCTATTATTATAGAATAGGAGCTCTCTAATAGCTAGGTTACTCGTTTTTTATACTATTACTACGATAACTTATATATTAGAAAAGCTACTAGTATTAACCGCGACTGTTATCTAGCTAAAAATCTAGCTAACTACTAATTATATTTTGATCTCCTTTATGCTAAGCTTAATTAATATAAGGTTGCGCTATATAATATCTATAATATAGATAAGAAGGGCTTCTTGTAATGGGCTGAACGCCCTTTGCCTCTCATACTCGTCTACGACCTCGTCTACTCCACCTGCCCGGCCCGATTGTTGCTCTAGCAACTAGTATTGTATATAGATAGCTACGTAGCTGAGAGCTTAGCTCTCTATCGAATACAATCTTGTTACCTTAGCCTATCTTGTGCTCTAGAGCTTAAGGACCCAACGGGGTTACGCCCCATTACACTTCTTACTTAGCTGGATCTTGCTATCTAAAAGAATCTTTTTAAAAGCTATGTGGGAGTAAAAGAAGATACGTAAGGCACTCTAAGATAGGAGTAGGGACTAGATTACGATTATTAGGTGTATCTACGCTAATAGGAGCTTAGTAGATTCTGCGATAATCTTTAAGGGAGTAGATAGTCTTCGCGATGAATGGCTGCGGGATCTAGAGGCTAAAAAATACTAGATTTTTTACTGTAGTAGCCTATCTAGATAGAGTAATAATTAGCTTACGTTAGCTTAGGTTAAGTAGGTGTTTAATTAGCTTATAAAGGATAAAGTAAAACGCGACTATAGGATGCTTCTTGTTAATAGGCATAGTAGTTACCTTACGCCGTCGTTCATTGAGTATTGCTATGCTAATCAAATACTCCTCGTAGTATTTCCGCCTTACGCTACTTAGAGTCTCTAGCCACTTAATATTAGCGTATACTTACCTCTAGTAACCACGTATAGTACTGAGCTTACTAATCTACTCTATAGCGATTAAGGATTACTTAATATACGGAAAAGTGATTTTCTACGTATATTTTAGGCGGCGTATATATCTACTTTTATAGCTGATAATACATTAAGTAGTTTTTGTACCTTTAGGATCTATCTGCGCAAGCCCGACGTTGTAATGAAACGCTTTAAAATACTACTATCACGAGCTGATATAGATATAGAAATTGGAGAGATAGGTGATAGAGATACTTAGTAGGAGCTGTTAAGAATATATACCGCTGCGGTACTGGATATATTAAAAAATGTAGCTAAATAGCTTAAATAGGCGCTCTATTTATTATAGACTTAGAACGAGCTTTTGTACTATAAAAATAAGAAACTGCGTAGTAGTATTACTACTAGAAAACGCTATAAATCTAAAAGAAAACTTCTTAATCTGTAGCAGCATGAAGAGTATTATAGTACCGCGGTAATATAGAGCCTATAATTAGTGAGGGAGGCTAAAGCCCACGAGGTAGTAGAATAACAGTAATGTAACGGCGCAGGCAAGACTACTCGGATCAGTATCGGCAGTAGCGTCACTCAGAGGCATATGGGAGTGCGTGGGACATCAAACGAGCCTTGATTCGAATAGACACCTATAGGCCTTGTACGAAAGGATATCAAAAATCTATCGAGCTACGGTATGGAGAAGGTGGGGTTTTATATCAGCAGATCTGCCCTCGGCTAGTGCGTGCCCATGTTCGGATCCCTTTCGGATGTTAGTTCAGTGTGTACTCGAACCGTTACACCTACCCCCCCCTCTACTTGACAGCTAGTCCCGTAGCTGTTGAAAAATTTTCAATGTTTATTTGTTTGTCTGTTTGCTTGATGTCGTCATCCTTCTATGCAGGGTCTCGGCC